GAGTGAAAGGTCAGGGAAGGCGTTCCTGAGAAGATAATGCTTAGTTGAGTCCTGAAAATGTTGTCATATGTAGCTTGGAAGACAGTGAAAAGAAATAACCTTTTGTAGAAGCATGGATGCATTCGGTATTCCAAGAGTATGGCTTGAACAAATGGGTTGTGTGTATGTGAGTGTACTTATATACTTGTGTTAGAATGGCAAGGGGGAGGCGGTTGGGTAGTGCGGTGGGAGATGATATTGGGGAAGTAGACAGGAATCGGAAAAGTCAGTTTGAGTTCCCTTATTGTTTGGATTCTATCTTCAAGGTAATAATATTTTGGCCAATGAGTAATATCAGATTAGTATTTTAAGAATACTACTCTTAAAAAAAAGAATACTACTCTAGGGAAGGGTGGGGGTAAGGGAGAGAGATCAACCAAAGGACTTGTATGCATGTATATAAGCCTAACCAATGGACATAGACAACAGGGGGTGAGGGCATGAGTGGGGGTGGGGGGGCAATGGGACGATAAGGACACATATGTAATAGCCTGATCAATAAAGAAAAAAATAGTTACAGAAAAAGACGAAAAAAAGAGGGAAAAAAAAAAGAATACTACTCTAGCAATAGTGTATCAAATGGAGGAGACAATTGAAACTCAGGTTGGGAGGCTGGTTAGGATGTTTTGGAATAACCCAGGTGAGAAATGATGAGGACCATTTAGGTTTTGCTGTGCTGGGAGGCCTCAGATTCTGGCACAACAGTCCTTGGAGAGCTTCTAGGAGTCAGCTTCTTGCCCATAATATCTTGTCATCTACACAGGCAATCTGTTTCCTCCTGTTAAGACATTCCCTCTTCCTTGCTACCCATTTGTTGAGATGAGATAGGCAGGCCAGCAACTTCTTGCCATTCAGTGTGATGATTTAGAACAGGAGTCAGCAAACTTTTTTGGTCAGGGGCCAGATAGCAAATGCTTTAGGCTTTGAGGGTCATATAATCTCCTTTGCAGCTATTTGACACATGTAATGCACTTAGAACAGCATGTGATGCATAATAATAAATGTAGAAATGATGACGACGGTGATGTCTTCGCTTTTCCTTCAGACATGTTTGAAGGAGTCGGATGGAAGTGATACAGAAGATTTCGGCTCTGATCACAGTGAAGACTGCCTTTCAGAAGCAAGCTGGGAACCTGTGGATAAGAAAGAGACTGAGGTATGTCCTTGCAAATATGGGTACTTACGCAAGCCATTGTGTTCGATTTCTCAGAGGTGATTGGTGTGCTGTAGACCGAGTGTATTCTTTTTAGGTGAGTAGTGGCCAACTATAAACACAGGCCTTGTCCTTTCCTCCTGGGACGCTCTCCTTGTTGCAGTGTTGTTGTTGTTCTGCTTTGTTGACAAGGACCTGGAATTTTTTCTTGTCCCTTCCGTTAGGTGACTCGCTGGGTTCCAGACCATATGGCATCACATTGCTATAACTGTGACTGTGAATTCTGGTTGGCCAAACGAAGACACCATTGCAGGTAAGGTGTTTTATATGATTTGGTATGGCTTGTAAAAGTGAGGTACACATAACTGAATGAAATTGAATTAATCTGAAAATGGAGACATATTTTTAGGAACTATTTTTGCTTGTTTCCAACTTTTCTCTTTACTTACTCATGTAATGCCTTTTAAAGTATCACTCATTCTCAATATATTGGCAGTTATTTTATTAAAAAAAAATTTTCCATTACAGTTTGCATACAATATTATTTTGTATTAGTTTCAGATGTTCAGCATAGTGGCATTTCTGATGAACTCTTTCCTCCTTGTGCTTTGGCAGAAATTGCGGGAATGTATTTTGTGCCGGTTGCTGCCACCTGAAGTTGCCCATTCCTGATCAGCAACTTTATGACCCAGTTCTCGTCTGTAACTCATGTTACGAACATATCCAAGTATCTCGTGCCAGGGAACTTATGAGCCAACATCTGAAGAAACCCATTGCTACAGCTTCCAGTTGAATGCCAGAGATGACCTATCCAATTATAGCAGGTTGGAAGGGAGGATCTGCTTCTGGTGTAGTTTTGAAGGTTCCTTGGTGTGGCTCATGAAATCACAGAGTTCAAAGATACCATCTTGGGAAACCCTTGGTATCATGAGACTGGAGCAGAGGAATTCCAGTTTGACAGGAGGTCCTCTACTACGGGCGAGACCCTCACCATGGGGTAATGGTCCTGATCCAGACCCAGAGTCTGGAATCTTAACGTTGAGTTGGTGACTCCAGCTTCTTTCTCCTGGGAGTCACAAGATGATTTCATTGATACTGCCTGGTAATGTGCCCCAAACAGCAATAGAAAGGCATATGTATAACCAAACTCCAAGTGATAACCAGATCCATCTCTCCTCCACCTTGAAATAAAGCAGATTATAGTATATAAAATAGGAATTCCTATCCTATTTGAAATGAACTATACCCTGTACCTCTGTGCTCTGTGTCTGTGCATGAAGGCTCAGTCTTTAGAGGCACTTCCTCTAGTTGCATTAGTTCTGTCTTTCTGTGGAGTTTGAAGACTGGCTCAGCAAGTGGAGGTTTTGCTATATGTTTCACTCGGCTCATCGGCCAGCATCAGTGAATACTCGGTGTAGGGGGACAGTTCTAGGGAGTGAGACATTTTTGGGAGCAGAGGAAAACTCTGCTGATGTTCAGTCCTGGCAAAAGTCAGTTATTTTGAGCTATGAAGGCAGTCAGTCACCTGTGTCATTCATTGATGGCTCTTGAGGTATGCACTGTGAAGAATGAGAAGGGAAACGCAGAAATTATCCTTGTGAAATATTTGCTGATTGTGCCCTACCCTTTGCGCCTGACTTTTCCTAGTTGTCCTGGTGCTAACACAGGAGCTACACCTTGACCCTCTCCTGGCATGAAAATAAAACCATGGTGTTTTTTTTTGTTGTTGTTGTCGTTCCATTGCCCACTTTCCTCATGTTGTCTTTCCCTTGGCTGCTGCCTCCTCTGGGTCACACTGCTTCTTATCCTGAACACTTGACACCTTGAGGGTAGAATTTAGTGTTTGGTTTTTTACCTCCTAGAATATGCTGTTTGGTATGTGAGGGTTTCAGTACAAATGCTGCTGTTTATTTCTGTGCACTTAACAATGGAACCCAAACAGAAGAGAGTAAAGCCTTGATACCAAAATTGGGAGAGAAAATGTGTCCATTTGGACCAAACCTTGTTTTATTTTTTTTCCTTTTTTTTCCTTTTTTTTTTTTTTTTTCATATTAATATGTACCAGTGGCACTTAACCAAAAGATACAGTGATATAGCCATGTACTAGGGGTGGGACAGATACAGTTTTCTTAACATACAAAATCACTTGAATTTCCTTTATACATTTTTCTTAATTTGATGTGTAAAAGGTAAATTACATTTAGGCTTATCCTGTTTTTAAACTACTGTAGTAGTTGTCTATAATACAACTTTCATGTTGCTTCCTAGAAAAAAAAATTGAACAAGAATCATATTTGTCCTGACCTTTTCTTCAGTCCTACAGAGAAGCATCTGTGCTTGCCATGGATATAACCTAAAAAGTTTTGGCATATTTAGGTCAATTTAGGTCAACGTAGCAGAACTCTTTTGGTTTAAATGAAGTTGAATAATGGAGATTTTGTGTCTGGGAAATTCCTGAGATCACTGAAAAAGTAACAAACTATCCCTTGTCTCTGACACATAGAATCCTTCTAAGCATTTTCTCAATCATTTAAAACTTACTGCCAGTTGTGAGTGGCTTTTTAATTCACTTGATTTTCATTGCACTTCACTCTGCCGTTTTCATGGGGAGTACAATTAGTAACATTGGAGGGGACTGTATCTGTCTATTTTGTATGGCTATTTTGAGGGACTACCCCATCAGTGAACATACTGCATGGCCTTGGAGAGAGACTGGGCTCTCAGCTCAGATGTGTTCATCAAATACTCCTTTCAGAGCTCTTGTGGGTGTAAGTGACATGATGTGGCCAAAAAATCCAAACTGTGCAGTTGCGTTGTGACAAACATGCAATGTGCTGTAAAAACTCAATACAATTTAAATAAAATCTCTATATTAGTGCTGCTTTGTTGGATCTTTTTATTCATTTTAACTTATAAGAAAACCTAATGCATGCTCATTTTTTTTCTTTGATCATGAGAAAGGACCAAAACATTACACCCTGTCCAACATTTTTCTATTTTTTTTAAATGGGCTTTTCTTTTTATCAGCACAGCTCCAGTTACATTCTTACTTACCGACCTAGGGAGTTACCTTATTGATACAGTACAATTCTATCCCATCTCATGAGGTTTACTTCTCTCAGGTCTAAAATTTCAATAGCTGGTGGATCGGGTGCACAGGATTGTGCCTATATTCTCTGTCACCTCAGTTCCCATCCCACCTCGAGCACAGTCTTGGCTCACATGTGTGTTTTTATTTATTTATTTATTATTTATTTATTTATAAAATATATTTTATTGATTTTTTACAGAGAAGAAGGGAGAGGGACAGAGAGTTAGAAACATCGATGAGAGAGAATCATTGATCAGCTGCCTCCTGCACACCCCCCACCCTGGATGTGCCCCCAACCAATGTACATGCCCTTGACCAGAATGGAACCCGGGACCTTTCTTTCAGTCCGCAGGCTGATGCTCTATCCACTGAGCCAAACCGGTTTCTCGGCCACAGGTGTGTTTTTAAAAGTACATAAAATGCTATCTAAACCCACGAATTTGTTTCCTCAGGATGCTACCCCACCATCGGCCACTTTTATGGGTGGAGAGCTGAGCCATTCAATTGTTATAGCGCCAACATTACAGAATTAGGCCCTTTGTTCTCCAGAATGGGTGACTTCCTAGTGCCAAACGCACACCTGCTGCATTCCAAATCCCCGCACTGCAGGTGGCTGCTGGCTGCGGTGGTGAAGGACACGAATCCTGGTGTTCCACCGTGGAGAGCTGAGCTGTTTCTCTGCAGGACTCCACCCTCCCTACCGGCGGGCAGCAATTCCCAGCTCCAGGGCGTGTGACTGCCCCGTCGGGTCCCACGCGTGGGCACGTGGCGGGGGCGCCGCGCCTCCCGCGGGCCGGGCCGGCGGTGCCCGCCGAGGGGGCGCCTCTTCCGGGCGCGCGGCGGGAACTCGAGGCCCCATTGGCCGCGCCGGGAGGCGCCGCGGGCCCGTCCGCGCCAACGGTCTGGGTCCGAGGAGGCCGAGCGCCGGCAGGAGGGGGCAGGGCGAAGCGAAGGAAGGCCTGGGGGGATCGAGAACGGGAAAGCAGAGCCAGGCTCGGCGGGGCGAGGCCCAGGGCCCGGGCGGCCGGGGCGATGGAGGAGGCGCTACTCTCCACCCCCATCAACCCCAACAACTTCCCCGCCAAACTGTGGCGGCTGGTGAACAGCCCCCGGTACCGCTCGATCCGCTGGGACGGCCGCGGCGAGGGGCTGCTCATCGACCAGCCGCTCTTCGAGGCCGAACTGCTGAGCCCTCCCGGGGCGGGAGGCGGCGGCAGCGGCGGCGGGAGCTCCGGGGGCAGCGGGGGCGGCGGCGGTGGTAGCGGCGGCGTCGGGGGCACCGGGGCGGAGCCCGAGCTCTTTAAAACCACCAACTTCACCAGCTTCATCCGCCAGCTCAACCTCTACGGCTTCCGCAAGGTGGTGCTGGGCGGCCCGGGGGCGGCGGGGCCCGGGCCGGGGGGCGGCGGGCCGGCGGGCGACGGGCCGCTCCACCACTTCCACAGCCCGCACTTCCGCCGCGACCAGCCGCAGCTGCTGGTGCACCTCAAGCGCCTCACCAGCGCCAACAAGGCCAAGCTGGCGGCCGGCCTCAAGGTGCCCTGCCGCCCGCCCAACCGCTTCCAGAGACTCCTCATCACGTCGGCCTCCGCCTCGGCCTCCTCCTCCTCCGCCTCGGCCTCCTCCTCCTCCGTCTCGGCCTCCACCTCCACCTCCCCGCTGCAGCACCAGGAGCCGCCGCCCCCGGGGCCCCGGCCCGATCCGCACGGTGAGTCCCGCCGTCTGGGCCTCCTGCGCCCTCGCCCACCCCGCAGGGTGCACACGGGCGCAGGGACAACCACCGCCCCTCAAAGACATGGTTGCACGTCCTCGCCTTGGAGGCATCCCGAAATGCACCCCCGGGATCCGCTTTCTCCTGGGCTTCCCCAGAACCAGGTCACACATCACCAGCGTTCTCACTGCCAGCAGCACCCTCTTCCCACCAGGGCCTCCTCTGCAAAGCGTCCGTAGGCATTCAGTCCCTTCCGTGTCCGCTAGCAGCCGCAGGCTCCTCTGCCTTTAGGCGCTGCTCTTCCTGCACCGCTTGCACGCGGTCCTTCCAAAGCCATTTACCTGCCCGAGGTCTGTGAGCATCGGCAGTAAGGAGCCTTTTGTTGACTGACGCATCAGGCCTGGAAGAAACACAGGTCTCCTTTGCTCTAATAGGAAGCAGCACGGGGATATGAAGATCAGGGTAGGAAGGGAGAGAGTCACAGCCACGTTTCTAAGGAAACCTTGGACCATTTATACCAACCCAGGGAAAGTGAACAAGGTGCCCAGAGTGGAAGTTTGTCTTTGATGTAACATGCCATCTTTCTCCCATTGACACAACTAAGAAATGTTGGAAGAAATGTTCTGACAAATAATCATATTTTAGGCCCTAACTGAAGTCTAGAACGATGACACATTGTTTATATATCTTAAGAGCCAAAGTATATTTCATGATTTAACCTGATATCATTCTTGTGTTAGGACGAGTTGGCTAACAACTTTCATTGTAGCTCCTTAGAGCTGATGCTTATTTTAAGAGGTTATGGTAGGACACATGTAAGGCAAAAGTGATTTTCTTTACAGTTGTCAAGTTTTCATTACAAAGAATTTTAGAAAGCTCACCTTGTGACCTTTAAATTGTTCACTATACTAAGCTTTGGACATAAGCTTTCATTATTTGAAGAAATTGTATTTATAGATCTGTATTTACCAAAAGTTCGGAGATTGTGTCTGATAAAAAATTATTTTATAAATTCTGATGCTTTTCTTCCATGAAGAGCGGCAATATTCCCTTTCTCTGGTTAAGGAGTCTATGAACTCCCAAGAAAGCAAAAGGACATAATATTGAGAAGTTATTCCTTAGCTTCAAGTAGGAAAGTAATAGAAACATTTTCAGCATGTTAACATAAACATTTCTGGGATACTTTTCAGTTAAGGGAAGCTTAAAAAATGCACAAATAAAAGAACACTGTGTTCAACTTAATGTAAGCCAAGAGTTATGAATGAGGCAGCACTTTGTTCGTTTGGAATTTAGGAGATAAGGGATTAGGTTGTGTCTGTGGAGTTTAGAAGATAAGGAATTAGGTTAGAGTTCTAGTAACAAGTTGGAAAAATAACAGTGGAAAAGGAATGTTCCAAAGGAATTCTGAAGGAATATTAAGCTACTTCCATATGATGGCCATTGATTTTGGTGGGAAACCCAGTGGGGAAAGGCGGAGGAGACAGTACCATGGCATATATTTGGCAGAATCTCTGCCATGTGTATTTGTCTTTCAGGTTGTGTATCTGAGAGAGAAGAAAAAATATGTCCTTGAGAGCAATAGGATAACCACTTTATTTTTTATTTTAAAAATATTTTTATTGATTTCAGAGAGGAGATAGAAACATCAGTGATGAGAAAGAATCATTGATTGGCTGCCTCCTGCATGCCCCCCACTGGGAATCGAGCCCATCACCTGGGCGTGTGCCCTTGACCACAATCGAACCAAGGACCCTTAAATCCACAAGCCAACATTCTATCCACTGAGCCAAATTGGCTAGGCAGGATAACCACTTTAAACAAGCATATACATACATATGTATATAAACATAAGAACCGATTCTTGCTTACTTTTTTCTCTTCTCTGATTTTCTTTTCCCCTCCCGTATTCTAAACCCAATTGTATTCTAAGGATAGAACCCATTTTAATTGAGGGAACACAGGGGCTTTCTAGGATCTGATTTTCTTCACTTCTGTTTCAGTTGGCTAGCATTTTAAAGATTATTTGTTGAAAAACATGTAATGCATACTTTTTCAGGATAGATAATACATCGATCCATATATATACCTAGATTATTGTAATTTTCATGAATTTCCTGTTGTTTTTTTTACCATTCTACCTGTTCACACATGCAGTGGAATGTCACATGTGGATTGCCTACATAAGCAATTGTGTTACTAGTTTGGGTGGAATGTAATTCTAAGTTTAAGAATATTGGCTCAACTTTGTTTTACTTAAATTCCATGTTATAAGTCCTTGGCTCTTCTATTTTTCCTAGCCTAACTTTTATTCTGTCTGAATTGTCTTGGTTATATATGCCTGATTACACTGCTGCTACTTCTTTTTTAAAATATATTTTTTATTGATTTTTTTTACCAAGAGGAAGGGAGAGAGAGAGTTAGAAACATCGATGAGAGAAATGCATCGATCACATCCCCCCACCGGGAATGTGCCCGAAACCAAGGTACATGCCCTTGACCGGAATCGAACCCGGGACCTTTCAGTCAGCAGGCTGATGCTCTATCCACTGAGCCAAACCGATTTTGGCTACACTGCTACTTTTTAGTTTCCATTTTGCTTTTTGTGTTTTGCAATTTAGGCTTTGAAAGCTCTCCTTTCACAGTTCAATCCTCTGTTTTAGAACCTAGTTCTCTTATCTAGATCCTTGAACCAGCTTCCTTTATGCTTTTTGAGAATTACTTGATAGGAAATGTGAGGATCACATGTTTTTCTTTTTTTCATTTATCCACTTTTATTATTTTGTTTTTAGTGTCAATTTTTAAGATATTGGTTGAAACTTTCTAAACTTAGCCACATAAAGTTGAGCGTTAGATCATCTGTCTTTGCCTGGGGCTACCAAGCTCTTTGGAGGCAAATTTTGGACAATAGACAATTTTTTCCTGGGGATTGATTAGTTTAGAACAGAAATTCATCCTACCTTATATTTCCATAATTCTAGATTTAAACTTTGCCAAATATATCAAATTAAGGTGTTCTGAAGACTTATAGGTGATGATCTGTAAAGTTGGAATAGAACCCTCTGAGATTACCCTTAACAGAATAAATAAAAGCTGAATATGTTTTAGATTTTTATTTAAAAAAATAAATAGATTGGAAGGAATGTCCTTTGAATCCTAATGCGTCCTTATGTTAGCGTCTAAAAAAAGGAAATATTTGGCCGTCACTCAGATTTTACCTAGATAGAAGTAGAATTTATATTTTAATTCAGACCTAAACCAGAAGTTAAGAAATCAAGATAAAGAATTCTTTAATTAGCTGCTTATATTATCGATAGTCTAAAAATTTATCAACAGCTTAAAAGAAGAGGGTACCAAAAGTATTAGTGAGCTATTGCACACTGTGCAGGATGTTGTTTTAGCACTGTTAGTGGTAGAAAAACAGCACCAGGTGCTAGGCCCATGGAGTGAGACCAGATCTCAGTTTAGCAACCTCAGTACTTCAGTTCTGGCTGGAAAGAATTCAGAATCAAGACTCAAGCTATAAGAGAAAGTTTAATTGGAAAGTCACAGAGGTAGAAGAAGTGAGCCATAGAAGAAATGGCTCAGGAAACAAGTTACAGAGGCAAAGAAGTGCCCATGGAGCCCAGAAGAAAGAGCAAGGAAGACTTGTCTGGGGGAAAGGGTGGGGAAAGGCTTTAGTGCTTCAAACAGTGTCCATCCTGAGCTTTTCCCTGGAGGTCTTAGGGGAGGATCTTAATAGACTATTCATTAGCTTTCTAGGTGTGTCTCCTCAGGGTCCTGGTGGCATGGGTAAGGTGGTTCATTAGTGCAGCCGGTTCTAACTGGTTTTGCTGCTTTTCTGGGCCTGGAGCTGAATGAAACACATCTGAGGCCAAGATGCTATTTCCAGGGGTTGGTGTGTAAGGGAGTGGTCCTGCAAGGGTAGTTTTGCCCATTGCTCTATGGCCTGTGACCCTCTGCACCTGGCCTGTGGTTCCTACTCTGCTCATGCAAGATTGTCTACTACAACATGTGAAGTGTCCAGGAAAAATCAAGTGTTGGATAGTTTTGGACTTTAAAGAATAAAAAATGTTTCTAGGTTTTAAAAGAATTGTTAACAGCGAGTTCAAATGTGTGTGTGTGTGTGTGTGTGTGTGTGTGTGTGTGTATACATATAAAAAATATATATTTATATATATATAAATATATATAAAATATATATAAAATATATATATAATATATAATATATATATAAAATATATATATATATATTTTATGCTACTTGACTAGGAACTCCATATATATATATATATATATATATATATATATATGGAGTTCCTAGTCAAGTAGCATAAAAACTAAATTTTATTCTTTTAAGGAAAGAAGAGTAATTTTTAAGAGCAATATCATTTAAATACATTATTTGGAACTAAGACATACCCCACCCTCCTCCCCCAATTAGGTTTAGAGCTCTTGATTTCCAGGGTTCCAGAATTTTTGTGTGTATATTGTATGTATTTGTTTATTGTTTACTTTCGGCATTATTGCCTTTTTTTTTTTTTTTATTACCTTTCAAAAGAGTTTATTTGAGCAAAAAGTCAATTTGAATCAGGTAGGGCCAAACTACTGAGAAACACTGGCCAGGGCTGGGTTTTTAAAAAATAAAATCAATTGAATGGCATTTGTGAACCACATAATACATAAAGCCTTCCCGAGGAATAAATTAGACTAGCTTTGTTCAAGAACCTCGTGCTGTAAAATAAGTTCAGCTTGTAACATATTTTCTTTTTTCTCATTACATAGTATTGCCCCTTTTCTCACTCATATCCACTTTTTAATTCTACCTTGCAGGATAAAAGAAAGCAAATAATCAGAATTTCTGGGTCTGCGTATATGGTTTTTAACAAATGAACTCTCTAGATCAGCGTTTTTCAACCGCTGTTCCGTGGCACACTAGTGTGCCGCGAGATGTTGCCTGGTGTGCCGTAGGTGCAGACAAGACAAGAATTTTATAATTTTTCACTATTTTGTTTACTTAATATTTCATAATAAAGTAATTATAAAATACTTTCTTTGTGTTTATTTGATTCCTATTCAAGAGAATTACTTTATATATAGTCAATATAGGCACAGAATTAAATTTTTTAACATTTTCTAATGGTGGTGTGCCTCGTGATTTTTTTCATGAAACAAGTGTGCCTTTGCCCAAAAAAGGTTGAAAAACACTGCTCTAGGTGACTCAAATGGAAATTAGTTTTTGAGAGCCACTGATATCTAGGAAGGGACACCACTAGAGATAACTCTGAAGAAAAAAAAGACCATGGAAATTATTGATTGATTTAAGGAATGAAAAAGTACTAAAAGCTTTCAAGCCTGACTTTTCTGCAAAGATGATCTTTTTTAAAAGTATGTTTTTTGAAAATAATTTTAGAGAGAGAGAAACATCAATGTGAGAAACATCAATTGGCTGCCTTCTGCACACATCCTGACTGAGATTGAGCCCAAATCCCGGGTAAGTGCCCAGACCAGGAATTGAACCAGTGACCTTTCAGCGCACAGGGTGATGCTCAACCAACTGAGCTACATTGGCCAGGGTGAAGATTATAATTTTAAAAAAAAATTAAAAAATTGAAAGGAGGAAAATTAAATTAAATTAAAAAGAGGTTTGTATTATACTAATTTGTTCCACACTGATTTCTTTTATGTATATGGTCGAGCGCTTATCTTTGTGCCTATTATTAAGGTTCCTAAATTTTAAAGACAGAATGAGATTTCAAAGACAGAATGTGATTTCTAAAACTTCTAGGAAGTAACTTACAGATTGGAAAAATCTGGGTCAGTCAATTGAGGTAAAAGGTAAGATGACTGAATAATTTATAAAAGGCTTTTAACATTGAATATTGATTTAACACTTGATGTAATTTTACAGTTTGGTCACTTTGTCTCTTATGACAGTCATATTGTAAACCAAACAAAGTTTATCTGATTATTTCTTCAGCATTTTATGTGTAATCTCATATTCTGGATTCTGAACTTGTTTTTATAATACTTAATTTCTGTTGTGTTAAAGATGACTGAAAACTCAGCGTGTCACAGGTGAAGAGCAGTATGCGTTTGTTGGCTTTTGGTTTACTATGTAATGTAAAATTAGTAAATGTGCTCTTCCTCTTTTGTGCAGGACCAGTGGCTGTAGGACAGTTCCATCGTTCATTCCGGCGCGATAGTCTGTCTCCTTATTCCTACGTATCAACTTCATCCCACAACCACAGTGCCTTTCCTTTGAAAGGTTTAGATCGGACCCCGATTCCTCCTAGAACGTGGCAGAACTCCCTTGGGATGCACCCAGGACAAGTAGAAACGCCCCCCACTTTTTCAGATAAAGGGGTTCCATTTCCTGTCCTGCAGAGGTTTCCAACTGAAGTTACCTACACTCTGCAGCCCAGCGCCACGTCCGTACACGTTCAGCAAGGTCCTCAAACAATGGTCAACTCCTCCCAAAAGTATAGTAACTACACACCCTCAGCACAGTACTCCCAAGCCTACTATCCAACAGGTATGAGAAATTCAAATTCAATGGCTTCTCTTAAGGCACTGCCTGATAAGGAGCATTTACTTATATGTTTAAATACATTTCTGCATGCTTAAACAAAAGTACTAGGAATGTGCTCCTAAGAAATGTCAAAGATTTCTCATCAAGGCATATTTTTAAACAATATATAAAATTTCATGTGTTCTTAAGGATTGTAAAAAATTCCATTGGTGCATAAAGGTGTATGTTTTTCGTGAAATGTTTGTATCCTCAAACTGTTGTAGTAATGAAATTAAGACTAAGTACACTGGACCTTACTATGACTCTGTCCTGGGTGCAAAATTACTTTCTCTTTTTAAAAATATATACATACTATACATTTTATATATTTTTGTTTTTATAGGTGAGATCACCTCATAATGAAGTCATTTTAGTATCTCAGTAATGAAGTTTATTTAATAAAAGAGCATGCTTTCCAACTCTTAAAACTAAATTATATTCTTTTTTATATTTTTTTATTTTATTTATTTATTTTAAAAAATATATATTTTATTGATTTTTTACAGAGAGGAAGGGAGAGAGATAGAGAGCCAGAAACGTCGATGAGAGAGAAACATCCATCAGCCGCCTCCTGCAACACCCCCTACTGGGGATGTGTCCACAGCCAACGTACATGCCCTTGACCGGAATCGAACCCGGGACCTTTCAGTCCGCAGACCGATGTTCTATCCACTGAGCCAAACCGGTTTCGGCAATTATATTCTTTTAGTAAAAACATGATGGTGTGGTTTAACAATAAAGTCACAGCCAACTAAGATCTGGGGAATAGCAGAGAGGAGGACCTGACAATGACAACTGACTTAGAACTCAACCAGAGGTGTTGAAGACATACCAGTAGATCTCAAGCCGCTAACAGGGAATCCTTACGATAGTGACCATCTGTTTAGCTTTGGGGGAGGGGTATCTATTTTGGAGGGGGAAAGACATTTTTGCAAAGTAATAGCCTTACCATTTTACTCAAATGTATAGTCTATTTTGCAGAAGCAGCATAGTTGCATAGTTGTAGTGTGTGTTTTATCATGTAGTGTGCTTTACGCAGTGATGAAATGGGGCAATAGAAACAAGACAAGGGTCAAGACTTTCAGAAGAGACCAAAGAGAAGAAAAGGGCTTTTTTTTTTTCTTTTTTTTTTTTGCCTTATGAATTAAGATTCTAGGCAAATTAATTTACTCAAGATGTGTTGATTCCAATGATCTTAAGTGACCCTTAAGTGGGTCACAGTTTAAGAACTGCTGCTGTAGAGCCTAAGACCATCGGAATACACAGATATTTACATTACAATTCATTAACAGTAGCAAAATTACAGTTATGAAGTTGCAACGAAAATAATTTTATGGTTGGGGGTCACGACAACATGAGGAACTGTATTAAAGGTTCACGGCATTAGAAAGGTTGAGAACCACTGCTCTAGAGGTATTTGTCAGGCAGAATGACATCAAAAGCTAAAATTAATTGGAAGGAATGTAAATTAGATAAGGGAATTACTAGATAAGACCTAGTATTTTTCCAGATTGTCAGCTACTTTGAACAACAATATCTGTCATATTTAAAAATAGAAGATTGCTGAAACCGGTTTGGCTCAGTGGTAGAGCGTCGGTCTGCGGACTGAAAGGTCCCGGGTTCGATTCCGGTCAAGGGCATGTACCTTGGTTGCGGGCATATCCCCAGTAGGGGGTGTGCAAGAGGCAGCTGATTGATGACTCTCTCTCTCATCGATGTTTATAACTCTCTCTATCCCTCTCCCTTCCTCTCTGTAAAAAATCAATAACATATATAAAAGAAATAAATAAAAACAGAAGATGACAAATTTTATGTTGTAAGTTATATATCTTATGTATAGCACCAAATAGGGTCAGATTTTTATTAGTTAGTTTAACCCAATGTTTTAATAAACATATTAAGCATCACTATCTACATTAAAATTTTGGCTACATTTCCTGTACTCCCATAGAATATATATATAGAGATAGTCTGTGTCTTCCTCACACGTGCTTTATTTCCTTAGCCCATAAACTAGACAATAACCCTATGTCCTCGCCTTTTACCAAGAAATGTTTCTCTTTCCTAACTGCCTTCAAACCCTCCTCTTTAAACTTACTAGACTAGAGACTCAAAAGCTTCTAGACGTAGGGGTGTCAAACTCAATCAGAGAAGGGGCCAAAATCTAAAATCCAGCCTAAATCGCGGGCCGAATGGTTTACTGAACAGTCATAAACTGTCATTGTGATGGAAACGCAGCGGAGTGCAGTGATGACAGCGCGGTGCGGGCCACATTGCAAGGCCTGGCGGGACGGATTTGGCCCGCGGGCCTTGTGTTTGACACATGTGTGAGTGGAAATTTGGAAACGCTGCAGCAGGGAGATGTAGAAATGTGTTTTGCTTTCCAATTTGGAATTTTGGAGGCATTTTCTATGGACATATTAGATATTAGCTTCTATATTGCTATTAGTCCTACACTTAAGGTACAGATGGTTTCAGTCCAGCTGAAGAGTCAAACTAGCCTGTATAATGTTTCTATGGGAAAATGTATTCCAAATTCCAATTTGGAAACTCCTAGTTCTAAATTTGTGAGAACCAGTTATATATTACTTATCAGAAAACACTATAAATAGTTAATATTATTCATTCATTACAGAAATACTATTTTAAAAATTATTATGATTTAGGACATGTTATTTTAAAATATATTTTTTTAAAAAAAATATTATTAATTTCAGAGGAAGGGAGAGGAAGAGAGAAACATCAATGATGAGAGAGAATTCTTGATTGCCTCCTATAGGCTAAAGATATTTTATGTTAGCTGGATATAAATTTATAAATTGAAAATTATCTCCGAGAGATCAAGGCAAGGACTAGGAAAGAAACATTAAAATAACAGGAAAGGCCCAGCCAGCATGGCTCAGTGGTTGAGCATCGACCTGTAAACCAGGAGGTCATGGTTCAATTCTCAGGGCATATGCTCGGGTTGTGGGCTGGATCCTCAATGTGTGGCATGAAGAAGGCAGCTTATCTATAATTGTTTCTCATCATTTATGTTTCTATCTTTTTCTCCTTCTCCCTTCCTCTCTGAAATCAATAAAAATATATTTAAAATAAATAAAGTAAAATAACTAAGTGCTGATATTTTGATGTAAACAGTGCTTATGAAATAGAATCTTATTATTTGAATTTTTGTTTTGTCTTTAAGAGGGATAATTGAAATGACTATAAAGTTTCTGAGGTTATGAGAAAAAGAGACCTCATGATGACTTCTAATACATAGAGTAGTTTTATGCTATAACTTAGGCAAAACTGCTTTGAACATTCTGAAGTACTTTATAAATAAAAAGTTGTTAAATACAAAAGACCTTCTTTGGAAAAGAAAGTGCCATAAAAATACTGTGCAAATACTTAATTCTTTCAAACTTTAGGGTAAGGAAGTAAAACGTAGTAAGAAATTTAACCAATAACTTAGTAAATATGTATTTATGAAGAGCATTCCAAGTAACTTTCCCAAAATTAAATAGAATATTATTCTCAGAGGCAGGATAATAGAATCCCAAAGCCAGCTCTGAAAGCCCTAATAAATAATTTTGGAATAATGGTCATTCTTTTGAATCCTTTTTGAAGTGAACTATATGACTTGGGAGAGGTTTTGACTAAATTTTAGTAAAAAAAAATCCAACTTTATTTAAAAAATACTTATATTGAAACTAAATTTAGATCTGGCCTTTCTATAGCATAACCAGTAAATTTTGAATTTTGTTATATTTCATAAATTATCTAGTAAAGTCAAAACATTGAGACCAAAAAATTGCCATCAGACTGACACATAAAATGACTCATCTGAATCATTTTTTACATTTTTCATTCCTCTCTTGAAGTGTCTGTTATCTCTGCCTAGCTCATTTACATTTTTTTCATTCTTATCACTCCTTCAAAGACAAAATGTAGATTCATTATCAATTGACTCTTTTTACTTTTGTCTTATCTTGAATTCAATTTTTTCCCTATGATGTTATTTTCATAGTGGGAGTGAACATTTTTACCTTTATTATTTTTTTGAAAAAAATTTACCTTTAGATCATTTTTAGTAATCTGGCTTATTTTTTATTATTAGAATTGTTTTAGAAATGTAATCAACTCATGTTTATATCTGAAATAGAATCTTGTTCATTATTTTAGTTTTTCATCCTACTTGCAACTTAATGCCTTAATACTGCCTTCAGGACGACACTGGAGGTTTTTTATATAGAAGAATATGTTTTAGGATATAACACTCACTAGATTAATTTTTCATGTATTAAGGACACAGTTACATTTCTATAGCTAGGTTTTCGTATTCAATAAGCTTACTGATATGCACCTGGCTTTGTTCTGTTTTGTTGACTATACCAATTGAGAAATCTTTTTGGATTAGGTATCTATTCAAGTCCTTTTTTTCATGAGGTAACTTTCTACTTTTCATTGTTACTAGATACCTTAAAGGATATTCACTACAATGCTGTTTTCTTAGATACCAAATCAGTTATCAACTACAAATATTTTCTCGGTTGTATATTCTATTTTGTTTCTCCAAGAAATTTATTTTAAAATACACTTTTAACAACTATTTAAAATGAATAAACAATGGAGTCAGATACAGCAATATTGGAAAAATAAAGCCAATAACCTTTCATTGCTTTATTTTCTTCTTTATTGAATTTGTTGGTATGACAAAACCATACAGGTTTCATGTGTACAACTCAGCAAAACGTCTGCGCTCTGCTGGTGCGTCCTTCGCCTAAAGCAGTCTCTATCTGTTCCCATTTTCTTGCCACCTCGACTAGCCTCCACCCCCCCCTCACCCCTCTGGCTGATCCTACACTGTTATTTGTGTATATAGAATGTTTTTTTGTTTTTTTTTTTAAATCCCTTCACTCCATTGATTTATTTTTAATGAAACGCTGACGGTGCCCTGATGGGTGTAAACCTGCACCTCTAACTTTCCTCCTGCCACTAGGGGGCTAGGTTTTCTCTAGCAGCTGTTAAAAAACTAGAAAAAAAGTCTTGATTTTTTTTCAGAGTTTTGGCAAACCATGCAGACCTCTCCTCGATGTTTAACATATTTCTCAGGATATTTATGCTTTTAAATATTCTGGGAAACCAAATTCAGGTCTATAACATTCTAATTGTAAATTTTTAAAACCTCCAAGGATAAAGTAGGTCACAATAGCCTGAATTTTATCTGACCTTCTTAGCAATATCTATATCTAGAGTTCTATCCATTATTTCAAAATTTTCTTTATTTCAAGTCTTAAATTACACATTGAGCTGAAACCGGTTTGGCTCAGTGGATAGAGTGTCGGCCTGTGGACCAAAAGGTCCCGAGTTCGATTCCGGTCGAGGGCATGTACCTGGTAGCTGATCGATGATTCTCTCTCATCGATGTTTCTAACTCTCTATCCCTCTCTCTTCCTCTCTGTAAAAAAAAAATCAATAAATTATATTTTTTAAAAATTACACATTGATATAAGAAAATATTTACTTCTAGTATATATTTATGAACTTATAACATTTTATATATCAGTAGTCAATAATGGAGAAATAGGAAAGCATTTCAATGTATTTTTACAATCCTTGGGCTTTCAAAGATTACAGAATGAGATTTTTTAGTAATTTAAAATATATATTTTTATGGATTTCAGAAAGGAAGGGAGAGGGAGAGAGATTATAGCAACATCAATGATGAGAGAAAATAATTGATTGGCTACCTCCTGCACATCCCCCTACAAGGGATCAAGCCCGCAACCCGGGATGCGCTCTGACCAGGAATCGAACTGTGAGCATCTGCTCACAGGTCAATGAGATGCTTACAGGTTGATGCTCAACCATTGAGCAACACTGGCCAAGCTATTAAATATTTAGTAATTTTATTAGTGCACTAGAAATATGAAAAATTTGTACATAAAAAGAGTTGCACCTTGTAATAAAGACACTTTTAAAATGTTCAAGAAAGAGAGAAAAATAAAATAAAATAAAATATTCAAGAGAATTCTAGTAAAATATTACATTTCAGGAAGAAGGAAGATTAGGGAAATATTGTGGGTTATTAAAGGGAACATGTTTTGGAGTTTGATCAGTGCATCTATCACTACCAGCTTTGTGACTTTTGGCAAATTATTTCATATCTCTGAGCTTTAGTTTCCTTACTTTTATAAATTAATGGTACTATCTTATTCAATTGTTGTGTGAATTAAATGAGATAATATAGCACTAGTACAGTGCCTGTAACATGATAGATGCTCAATAAATAACTCATCCTCCTCTGTTTAATCCAAAGATATGATATAATAATTGATTTTTATTCATTCTGGAGAGTCTCTCTCTGGAAAAGAGAATACAACCTATTTTAAAAAATATATTTTTATTGATTTTTTTTTTTTTTTTACATAGAGGAAGAGAGAGGGATAGAGAGTTAGAAACATCGATGAGAAACATTGATCAGCTGCCTCTTGCACATCCCCTACTGGGGATGTGCCCACAACCAAGGCACATGCCCTTGACCAGAATCGAACCCGGGACCTTTCATTCCTCAGGCCGATGTTCTATCCACTGAGCCAAACTAGTTTCGTCTCAACCTATTTTTAAGACTGGATCTGTGAGTGTAACTATCCCAGTATAAAGAGTTCAGTCTTTTCGTGGTACCCTGCTATCAAGAGAAACTTTGGAAAATGTTTTGTTTTGTTTTTAGTTAAAATAATAGCACTGTTAGCTATTTATTGATTGACTGCTTACAGTATGCTAGTACTATTCTAAGTTCTTTGTGCATATTAATTCATTCATTCCTCATAACAAGCATGTTAGGTAGGTACTATTAACATCCCTTTACTAATGAAACTGAAGCCAAAGAGATTAACTTGCTCAAGTTTATGCAGCTATTAAATTTTTGGATCTCGCCCTGGCCAGTGTGGCTCAATTGGTTGACATCGTCCCATGTACCAACAGGTCATCAGTTTGATTCCTAGACAAGGTACATACCTGGGTTGTGGGCTCATTCCCCACTAGGGATGTGTGCAGGAGACAGCTAATCAATGTTTCTCTCTCCCTCTCCTTTCCTCTCTCTGAAATCAATAAAAGCACATTTTTTAAAAATGCTATTAAAAAAACAAAGATAGTTTTGCCTTAGTTGGCTTGGCTCAGTGGATAGAGCATCAGCCTGCAGACTAAGGGGTCCTGTGTTCCATTCCTATCAAGGGCACATGATCAAGTTGTGGGCTTGATCCCCAGTGGGGGATGTGCAGGATGTAGCCTATCAATGATTGCCATCATTGATGTTTCTATCTTACCCTCTCTGAAATCAATAAACAAAATATATATTAAAAATAAAAATAAGGGGATTGGTTATTTTAAAAAATATATTTTAAATTTTGAATCTGGGGTCCAAAGCTAGGCAGTCTGATGCTAGGATCTGAATTCCTAACTACTTGTCATGTTAAAACATTTTTTTGCGTACATCTCACTGGATGCATTGTATAATGGTAGAAATGTTTGGAGAGTATTTCATACTTATTTTATCTTTAAAGACACATCCTCCTCCAAGTGCGCACTACTATTAAAATGATTGAAATAATTATTTTGGAATTCCAAATATATTCTGATACCTTCAACAAAAAGAAATTACATTAATAAAAATAAATGTTTGGTTAAAAAGGTACAAAAATGTTTAGGTGCTAAGAAATTTATAAAAATAGACATGACACTTTTAAGTGACTTTTAAAATGAATTTCGTATCATGTTTTCAACAAACAATAGCACCTAACTGACTAAATACATTTTATTGCACCCACAAAGGAAAGCACTCTTTTCCGAGATAAAAGAGGGGAGTACCTTGAATGCTATAGAAGCTTATTTTAGTTGATGGACTTTCTATTTTGAATTTGTTCCAGCTGTATTACAGTGCTGCTCTCCTTCCACCCACATGGACGCTCTGAGCAGCTGTGTCACTCCCACTGCCTCTACCTATGCACACTGCAACTACTTCCAGGTAAGATCTTGGAACAATGGACATACTCTGTGTATCAGGTGCAATAGTATTGACCTTGCAGAATTTCAAAGTGTAATTTTATCTTAACGAGTAACCACAGGTAAGCTGTGGATTATGGCCTCCGTTTTCTCAATTCTAAAAATAGTTGATATAAATGAAGTCTGAGGATTATTCTAGTCCTGCACTGTCCAATATAGTAGGCACTAGTCACATGTGGTTATTTAAATTTAAATTAAATAAAATTTATTCCTCAGTCATACTAATCACATTTCAAGTGCTCTATAGTCTCATAAGCTAGTACTACCAAACTATCATTATGGATAAGAGGACATTTCCATCATTAGGGAAAGTTAGTTGGAACATTTATTCTTGGCTCTCCCTTGGCAAAAGGAATACCAGGTAACTCTAAAAATATATAAAACTATATGTCACCAAATGACAAATTGTTTCAAGGTGGTGTAGATAACTACTTTTTTTTAAAGAGGAAAAATGATATTAAAAAACGAGAAATGTAAGTGGTGGTTCTTCAGCCTCCAGGTCGTAAACCATTACAATATATTGACCATTCATGTACTCTCACCAATACCTACAGTCCAACTTATGCATTTATTTCCAAAATGGCATCTGAAATTCTTTCCCTTTCTTTCCACTTAAAAATTTTATGTTTACTTCAATTAGTTTCTCATTATTTATTACAAAACAGTTGTTTTAGATTGCTATTTCTAGGATAAGATTAAATTCTATACTTTGTACTTTATGCTATAATTGCTTAAAGATTGGAATTATGTGTTTGCCTTTGATATTATGTAGCCAAGATAGCTTCCATTCTTAAAAGAATATCTTACTAGTGGCATTCCAAAAGAACATTCCTTTTTTTTTGAAAGTCCACATGGGATGTGAAATTATAGTCAGATTGTTGTTTGCAGAGTATAGAATTGGATCAGGAGGGCTTAGTTGGACATTTAAAAAAAATAGTCTCCTTTTTTGTTTTTAAATGTATTTTTATTGATTTCAGAAAGGAAGTGGGAAAGAGAGAGAGAGAGAGACAGACAGACAGAGAGCAAGCAAGCAACATCAATGTTGACAGAGAATCATTAATTAGCTATCTCCTGCACACCCCATATCGGAGATTGAGCCACAACCCGGGCATGTGCCCTGACTGTGAATTGAGCCATGACCTCCTGCTTCATAGGTCAGTGCTCAACCACTGAGCCACTTGGGCCAGGTTTAATTGGACATTTTAAAAAATTTAATATATCTTTATTGTTCAGATTATTACAGTTGTTTCTCTTTTTTCTCCCCATAGCTTCCCTCTATCTGGTTCCCACCCCACCCTCTGCCCTTCCCTCCTCCCACTGTCCTCATCCATAGGTATTTGATTTTTGTCCAGCCTCTTCCTGCACCCACCACACCCCATTCCCCCCATGGATTGTCAGTCCACTCCCTTTCTATGCCCCTGATTCTATTAAATTCACCAGATTATTCTGTTCATAGATTTTTTATTCACTAGATTTTTAGATTTACTTGTTGATAGATATGTATTTGTTGTTCATAATTTTTATCTTTACCTTTTCCTTCTTCCTCCTCTTCTTACAGAATACCTTTCAGCATTTCATGTAATACTGGTTTGGTGTTGATGAACTCCTTTAGCTTTTTCTTATCTGTGAAGCTCTTTATCTGCCCTTCAATTCTGAATGATAGCTTTTCTGGGTAGAGTAATCTTGGTTGTAGGTTCTTGTTATTCATTTCTTTGAATATTTCTTGCCACTCCCATCTGGTCTGCGTAGTTTCTGTTGTATGGGTGCTCCCTTGTAGGTAACTGTTTTTCTCTTACTGCTTTTAATATTCTCTTTTTGTCTTTTGCTTTTGGCATTTTAATTATGATGTGTCTTGGTGTGGTCCTCTTTGATTCCTTTTGTTTGGGGTTCTGTGTGCTTCTTGGACTTGTAAGTCTATTTCTTTTACCAGGTGGGTGAAGTTTTCTGTCATTATTTCTTCAAAGATACTTTTCAGTATCTTGCTCTCTTTCTTCTTCTGGCACCCCCATAATTCGGATGTTGGTATGCTTGAAGTTGTCCCAGAGGCTTCTTACACTATCTTCATAATTTTGGATTCTTTTTTTCCTTTTGCTTTTCTGGTTGAGTGTTTTTGCTTCTTTGTATTTAAAATCTTTGATTTGATTCTTGCAGTCCTTTAGTCTGCTGTTAGGTCTGTGAATAATATTGTTTATTTCAGTCAGTGTATAATTTCTAGTTGGTACCTTTTCATATCCTTGAGGGCCTCACTAAATTTATCAGCCTTTTCTAGGAAATTCTTGAAAAACCTTATAATCATAGTTTTGAACTCTATCCAGTCGTTTACTTTCCTCCATTTCTTTTCTTTGTGATCTGTTTCTTTGTCTCCTCATTTTTGCTGCTTCCCTGAGTTGGTAGGGTAGCGTTGTGTGGTAGGTGTCTTATAGGATGCAGTGGCTTAGCCTTCCCAGTTACCTGAGGTGGACACTCTTGGTGCACCCCTTTGTGGACTATGTGCACAGTTTTATTATAGTTAAGCCTTGATAGTTGTTGGTATTACTGGGAGGAATTGACCTCCAGGCCAATTGGCTGTTTCTATGATGGGAGAATTTCTGTGCTGGAGACACCCTTATGAGAAAAGACTTGAAAAATTGCAAAAGCCTCTGTGCTTAGGTTGGATCTGGCAAAGTATCAGGGTGGAGCAGACAGCCTTGGCTTCCCATCAGCCCTGCCCTATGAGGCTTCCAGGTCTCAGTGTCCGGTGGTAATCGCTGCAAGCACCTCTGAGAGAAAGCTACTCTCAAGTTTCAGCTGCTGCCAGACAGTCCAGTTTCTCCCTGAATGAGCCTGGATCCCCAGAGTCTCTCTCAGAACTGGAGTTCAGCGCAGTTGGGAGCTTCCATCTCCCTCCCGCTTGAGAAAGCCAGCCATGCACTTAGCAGTCAATCCTCTCCGCGCGTGCGCACCTCCGGACCTCTGCTTTCCGCAGCTCCCCTGAATTTCAGTGTGCTTTTCTTTCCTTCTAGTTGTAAAATTTTTACTCAGCCACGTTTCCTGTGGTTCTGGATGATGTTCGTTTTATGTTTTAGTTGTAGTTTTGAAATTGTTGTGCGAGGCAGCAGTTTAGGTGTTTACCTATGCCACCATCTTGGTTTCTCTCTTTAGTTGGACATTTTTCATGGAAGATATCATTAGTCTTGATAGTCCAGTCTATTTATCTTTATTGGAATGACATAGCTGTCACACAAATTGGATGCTCTTATTTGTGAATCCAGATACCCTTCTCCCTGAATCATACTGGAGATATTCTAACAGTGTTCATACCTTGATTATGTTAGTCTTAAATAAGTTAAAACATCTTTAAAAAATTTTTCTTACTATAGGACAATGCATGTTTATTATAGGAAAATAAAGATAAGTAGACATAAAATTAAACAATGAAATTTACATTATTTAGCATTAGTGTTCTTTATTTTAATTTAATTTAATTTAATTTTTTAAATATATATTTTATTGATTTTTTACAGAGAGGAATAGAGAGTTAGAAACATCAATGAGAGAGAATCACTGACTGGCTGCCTCTTGCATACCCCCTAATGGGAATGTCCCCACAACCACAGTACATGCCCTTGACCGGAATCGAACCTGGGACCTTTCAGTTAGCAGGCCAATGCTCTATCCACTGACCTGAGCCAGTTTCGGCGGCATTAGTGTTCTTTAAATTATTGACACAGTCTTTATAGTGTGTTTGGCAATATTGATATATTACATGTTTTATTTAATCATAACTCTTCTGTATTTCAGGTTTATAATCTGAGATAATCAGCAAATGTTTATTGAATGCCTATTCTGTGCAAAGCTCTACATTTGGCAATATCAATTAATTACGTTTTATTTAATAATTACTTTTCAGTATTTTATATCATAGCTTGAGATCATTTGTCACCAAACATGTAATTGAATGCATATTCTGTGCAAAATACAATGTATAAGAGAATACATCTTAAACATCAATCTAGAAGTGACAGCTATTTTGAAATCTATTATTATTAAAAACAATCTCAGGAACCAAAGGCCAGTCGATATTCCATCCATTTTTTTCTCAGATCATTTGGAACAGTACCTCCCCCTGAATCTATAGAAGCTTTGGAGGACTTGTGAGCATCTTATGTTTGAAATTTCCTTACTACATTCCTAAAGTACAATAGTATATGATAGATACAAGTATATAATAGATACAAGTGATGTTTTTGACTGCCAGCCTTTATGGAAGAACTCAATATATAGACATTTTATCAGCAAATTAGGTTTTGGGATACTATAGCTTTTTGATTTTGTGTACTTTAACCCTGAGAATGATTGATCCATTCTAGTATTAAACTTAGTATAGTGGTTGAAATGTAATAGTTACTAAATAAATGTTGAAAATAAAATTGTAGCTATCACTGCTGGAAAAGTTGATTAGTATTCAAGTTTTTTTTAGTAAGCTTTAAGTTTAACCTATTTATGTTTAGTATTCATCAGTCTATATGCTGTTTCTTTCCTCCTTAACCTCATATTTGATTTTCTATCCAAACAGTCCTATTTTCTCTTTTCCCAGAATCCTCCAATGCCATCCTCCTACCCAGTTGAGTTTCTGCCTCCTAATTGGCCTTGTGGTTCTACTGATGAAAATAAAAAGACAGAAGTAAACCTAGAGGCTGTTTTTCGGATCTTAGATGAATTGCATTCCTCCCCTAAATTGGAGATGGTAAAGGTGGAGCCTGTTGAGAATCAGTGCCCAACATCTCAGTCTAACAGAGGCCAACATATCCTAGCTAATTCAAGCAATAACAATCCGTCTTCCACAAGTCAGGCTAGCCAGCTGGAGCCACTTACTCCTGTAGGTTCAGATATTACATCTTTTGTGGTCGGAACAGAACAAGCAATTACCTGCTCTCTACCACAGTCACCTGAGTACATGTATACCATCCACACAGCTCAGCCTGTTGAAAATACTACAATGCAGGAATCTGCAGCCATCCAACAAGCTCATGTCAAACTGAAGGAGCAGCTCAGTCATAATCCATCTCCACCTTCAGTAGTGTTTGTGCAGGAAGGGCTACCGTTTAGCCCACACCAGGTAAGGGGAAAAGAAGAAGTGCTAATAAGGCTTAAAGTACCTAGTTTTCTTGCTGTTTTAGGGGAGAGTTTGTTCCGATTTTATTTGGGTTGTGCTTCCTAGAAGGATCCTGTCCCAGTGGTTCTGCACAAAAGATTCAGAAAGAAGTAATCTTAACTCTCAGGCCTCTTCTCACTATGTTGTGGTCTGAAGTCAACCTCTGGAGAGCCAGTCTGCCTGAGTACTGTGTATAAGACTTACTTACATGTTAAAAGCATTCCTTGAGTTTTGCTTCCTATCTTAATTTGGATGGACTAGGTATGCTTGGCTGATTAAATTCCACTACTCAAAAGGGATGGTTTATCTGACAGATAATATTAGGACTTCCCAGCCATATGTAGCATGGAAATAAGGAGATGGTTGGAAGTCTTTTTATACTTTCTTATAGCATTACTGAATTCTAAATGACTAGTGAGTACTCTGAGCTTCCTTACTAATATCAGCATTCCTAAAGCAGAATTCTGACTCTAGTTTGAGAGACATATTATCAAGATAGAGGCTAATTCTTTATTGCTGCTAATTTTTTACCAGAAAAGAGTAAACTTCAATTTTAAATTGAAGTACATATAAAATATAGAAAGAAACTTATACCTCATAAGCAGGGCAGATCTAGATTATAGGGACTGAGAGCCTGTTGAAGACAAATAATACAGAATTATAGAATAAAGTGTCCTCACTGATATCCAACAGGATTATGCTTATAGCCACTGCAGTATAACCAACCAGAGGGCAACCTGAAAGGGGTGCTAGACTGGAAAAAGATAACCTTAACCAATTGCAAATTTTTGTGTGTGTGAATTTTACAAAAAAAATTTTTTTTTGAATAGGTTTTGTGCTAAAATTTCCTCTGAGTATAAGTAAATGTTTTGATTCCACATGCATTTCAGCAGTTTGTATATGGGGAAATATACATTTTACTATTGAATATTCAGATTAAGTCAACAAAATCAAAGGTAATGTTCATAAGGCTCTTTACAAGCACATTTGTTGGATCATGTTTCTATAATAGAACTCCTCTGATAATTTGATAAAAATTCAGAATAATGCGTGGGTTTAATATTTTAGGTGGATGCCAGTATAAAATGCCAGACAAATCCACCTGAGAATATCTTGCCTTCAGAACAGATGGGATTCCTTATTTCAGAGATGGGGCCTGCTAGCAAGCCTAGTAAAGACACAGATTTATCCACTCCAATAAGATACAGGGAGCGAAGAAGCAGCTCACAGCAAGGAAAGTCCCCTGGTAAGGCTTATTGTGCTATAGAATGTTAGAAGTAGAACCATGGGGTAGAATTAATATATGAACAACACTTTTTTATGGGTCATTATTATTTATTAATTGCATTTCAAATCTAAAAATAAAAATAAAAAGTCGAAACCAGTTTGGCTCAGTGGATAGAGCATTAATCTGCGGAGCATGTACCTTGGTTGTGGGCACATCCCCAATATGGGGTGTGCAAGAGGCAGCTGGTCGATGATTCTCTCTCATCAATGTTTCTAACTCTCTATCCCTCTTTCTTCCTCTCTGTAAAACATCAATAAGATATATATTTTCTTAAATCCAAAAAAAATAAATTATTAATTGCATTTTACTTATTACATTGCTATTTTACATAGCTGTAATTTTAACTATTTTTCTTAATTATCCTTGTAAAATATATAAAAGTTTTTTTTGAATATTTCATGTAAGAATTTGAGCTTTCAAAAAGATAGAACATATTAAGTAAAAGCAAAGGCTCTTTTTTTTTTTTAACTTGGAGAAGGCAAGGATGAAGGGTGATTTCATAATTGCTTCTGATTCCATAGACTTTATAATTTTATTGAAGGTAGTTGTACTCATTTTCTTATTAACAGGCTATAAGATAAGAGGGAAGTGCTTAAATTATGGCAGGGCAAAAAATAGATGAACATTAAAGACATTATCCTGAGCATATTATAAAGATAGTATAAAGTATGGCTCTATCAGTGGGATTGTTTCTCTTACAGGTTGTAGGAGCCCAGAATTAATGATTGTCTTAAGGCTGAAAAGTTGTGAAATATTGGCAATATTATGACATTTAATTACACTTTCATTTTATTAGGGTCAGGGAACTGCCAAACTGTTTTTTGTTTGTTTGTTTGTTTGTTTTTGTAGCAGCTGACCCATTTTACATTCCCAACAACAATATGCAAGGCTTCCCATTGTTCCACATCTTCCCTAACACTCCCCCGACCCCTAACACTTGTTATTGTCCACTTTTTATTATTATAATATTATAGCATCCTGGTGGGTATGAAGTGATTTCTCATTGTTGTTTTGATTGTATTTCCTAATGGCTAATGATACTGAGCTTCTTCTCATGTGCTTGTTGACTATTTGGAGAAAAGATAATTTTTTGACAACTATTATATTGACAACTATGAAATCTTCTCCTGTTTTGGTTAAGTTTCTATAGCAGTTGGTAAACTATGCTTCATACATCAAGTCTAGCATCTGCCTGCTTTTATGTGGCCTGCATGATAAACGTGGTTTTTACCTTTTAAATGGTGGGGGGGAAATCAAAAGAAGAATATTTCACGACACACACACACATGATATGAAATTCAAATTTCAGTGTTCATAAATAAAGTTTAATTGGAACACACAGCCACAGGCATTCATTTGCATGTTATATATGGCTGTTTTTACACCACAATAGCAGAGTTGAACAGTTGCAATATAGGCCAGCCATATGGCCCACAAAACATAAAATATTTAATATCTAGCTCATTACAGAAAAAGTTTGCCTGTCTGTGTCTTGTTCTGTTCAGGCTACTATAACAAAAATATCATAGAGTAGGTGACTTATAAACAACAGAAATCTATTTCTCACAGTTCTGGAGGCTGGGTAGTCTAAGATTAAGGTACAGACAGATTGGTTGTCTGGTGAGGGTCCTGTTCCTGGTTCATAGATGGCCACCCTCTTACTGTGTCTTTTCATGGCATCAGGGACAAGGGAGCTCTCTGGGATTTCTTTTATAAGGCACTAATCTCATTTATAAAGGGCTCCACCCTCATGCCCTAATTACTTCCCAAAGGAACCATTTTCTAACACCATCACATGGGGGGTTATTTTTCAACATATAAATTGGGCATTTAGTTTATTGCACCTTGTATTAGAAAGCCTTTGTGCTTAGCTTCTGATCTTTCCAAAGCCCTGATCATTGATTACCAGAGAAGCCCTTGAGAGAGTAAGAAGGTGCTTGTGGAGAGTTCACAATGGACTAGAATTCAGTTTAGTTCTTGTAGATACCCTAATGTTTTTTATTGCCGTAGCTCAGTGGTCGGCAAACTGCGGCTCCCGAGCCACATGCGGCTTTTTGGCCCCTTGAGTGTGGCTCTTCCACAAAATACCACAGCCTAGGCAAGTCTGTTTTGAAGAAGTGGTGTTAGAAGTAGTTTAAGTTTAAAAAATTTGGCTGTCAAAGAAATTTCAATCGTTGTACTGTTGCTATTTGGCTCTGTTGACTAATGAGTTTGCCAACCACTGCCTTAGCTGGTTTGGCTTAATGGATAGAACATAAGGCTGACTGAAGGATCCCAGGTGTGATTCTGGTCAAGGGCTCATACCTCAGTTGTAAGCTCGATCCTCAGGCCTGGTTGGGTGTGTGTGAGAACCAACCAATCGATGTGTCTCTCTCACATCCATGTTTCTCTCTGTCTCTAAAAAACAAACAAACAAAAACAATGGAGAAAACATCCTCAGGTGAGGAATAACCAAAACAACAAAAAACCCCACCAATGTTTTTTTTATTTTGATAGATACTGAACTCCAAGGATAAATGATTAAATGATAGGAACCAAATATAAAAGTCCTCAAGTATCACTTGAATTTCAACTGTCACTATCATAAGAGTAATGATACTAGTGGAGCTTTAGTAAGGTTCCAGCTCTCACCCTGGCAGAAAAACTCAGTTGATTAGAATGTAGTCCCTATATGCCAAGGTTGTAGGTTCAACCAATGAATGCATAAAGAAGGGGAATAACAAATCAATGTTTCTCTCTCCCTTCCTTGCTCTCTAAAATAATATAAATAAATAAATAAATAAATAAATAAATAAATAAATAAATAAGGTTCCAGCTCTCATAATACATCATCTTTTCACGAAATCACCTCTAAAGACTTATTTGGCTCCAGACTCTGTTACTCCCTCTACCATTAAATGTGGGGCTGTCATTATGTTGTTCAGTATCCCGTTGAACAGGAGCATTCTGTATTCCAGAACTTATCAGAGCCCTTCTATAACTGAACTGTTTTGAAAATATTCTCTGTTTTGATAGGGGCATCTCCTCATACTTCAAGATTTCTTTGACTCTTTTTTGAATAAGTGACTTCAATTAGGTTTGTATCCACATTGTGTTGATTTCAGTAGACATGCATTTTGCTAGAAGGATGTTGTTAATCAGGCATTGCCCTCTTTTGGGCACATATTGACTTAAGGAAATAATTTACGGATTAAAAAATACCAAAAGTTAAAGCAAATTAGACTTAATCATGTACCTCCAATTTCTATAATGATATTATCCTAAACTGAATGTACCCAAATAATAATCTTATTGTGGAAGCTACACTGTCCTATATTCTGATGGGATATTTATAGTTAAGGGAAACTGAATGTTTAAGAGTAAGGTTCAGTTAATTCCTGAAGAAAGAAATTTTGTACCTGTTGAATTATGGGTGAAATTTCATTAAAGTAATAGCCCCAACACCCTGGAGAGTGCTTGCAGTAAGAATTAACATTCCCAAATAAATACAATGCCCTTGTCCCTCAAGGCCTTTCAGCTCTCAAACCAACGTGCTGTGATTCCCAAATACTTGCCTTCTCTGATGAGTATGCAAGGTTTTCTTCTGAATGAAATCATACCCTGTTTTCCCCAAAATAAGACAGTGTCTTATATTAATTTTTGCTCCCAAAGATGCGCTAGGACTTATTTTCAGGGGATGTCTTATTTTTCCATGAAGAAGAATACAGTACAGATTTATTGTTAAATGAAAATAAAGGAAATTTATTACCTGTACACTGTACGGTATGGGGTTTGAGGCCCATACCCCGGTTGAGGATTGGATCCTCTTGCACTGAGCATACGTGAGGCAACTGACCAATATTTATCTCTCACATTTATGTTTCTCTCTCTCCCCCTTACTCTCTCAAAATCAATGAAAGCATGACCTTGGGTGAGGATTTAAAAAAAAATTCTGATCCCTAGGTTGCACTTTATACCAACTAAATCAGAATGTATGGGGTAGGAGACATGAGCATCAGTATTGTGTTTTTTTACTTTGCTATAGGGTCTTTTTTAATAATAAATTTTTATTGTTCAGATTATTAAGTTGTTCCTCTTTTTCCCCCCATAGCTCCCCTCCACCTGGTTCCCACCCCATGCCATTCCATGCCCTTACCACCACCCCCCATCCCCCGTCTTCATCCATAGGTGTATGATTTTTGTCAGACTTTTCCGCACCCCCCCCCCCCCCCCCCCCCCCCCCCCGTGGATTGTCAGTCCAATCCCTTTCTATACCCCTGATCTATTCACCAGATTATTCTGTTCATCAGATTTTTTATTCACTAAATTTTTAGATTACTTGTTGATAGATATGTATTTGTTGTTCATAATTTTTATCTTTACCTTTTCCTTCTTCCTCCTCTTCTTACAGAATACCTTTCAGCATTTCATGTAATACTGGTTTGGTGTTGATGAACTCCTTTAGCTTTTTCTTATCTGTGAAGCTCTTTATCTGCCCTTCAATTCTGAATGATAGCTTTTCTGGGTAGAGTAATCTTGGTTGTAGGTTCTTGTTATTCATTTCTTTGAATATTTCTTGCCACTCCCATCTGGTCTGCGTAGTTTCTGTTGTATGGGTGCTCCCTTGTAGGTAACTGTTTTTCTCTTGCTGCTTTTAATATTCTCTTTTTGTCTTTTGCTTTTGGCATTTTAATTATGATGTGTCTTGGTGTGGTCCTCTTTGATTCCTTTTGTTTGGGGTTCTGTGTGCTTCTTGGACTTGTAAGTCTATTTCTTTCACCAGTGGGGGAAGTTTTCTGTCATTATTTCTTCAAAGATACTTTTCAGTATCTTGCTCTCTTTCTTCTTCTGGCACCCCCATAATTCGGATGTTGGTATGCTTGAAGTTGTCCCAGAGGCTTCTTACACTATCTTCATAATTTTGGATTCTTTTTTCCTTTTGCTTTTCTGGTTGAGTGTTTTTTACTTCTTCGTATTTCAAATCTTTGACTTGATTCTTGCAGTCCTCTTGTCTGCTGTTGGATCTCTGTATATTATTTTTTATTTCATTCAGTGTATGCTTAATTTCTGGTTGATCTTTTTTCATATCCTCGAGGGTCTCGCTAAATTTATCAGCCTTTTCTAGGAAATTCTTGAAAAACCTTATAACCATGGTTTTGAACTCTATATCCAATCGTTTGCTTTCCTCCATTTCTTTTCCTTGTGATCTGTTTCTTTGTCTCTGTATTTTTGCTGCTTCCCTGAGTTGATAGGGTAGCTTTGGGTGGTAGGTGTCCTATAGGACACAGTGGCTCAGCCTCCCCAGTTACCTGAAGTGGACACTCTTGGTGCACCCTTTTGTGGGCTGTGTACACAATTTTGTTATAGTTAGGCCTTGATTGTTGGTATCATTGGGAGGAATTTACCTCCAGGCCAATTGGCTGTGAGGATCAGCTGTTTCTACAATGGGAGAACTGTGCTGGAGACACCCTTCTGGGGCAAGACTTGCTTCAGTGGGGCTTTGGTGCTCACTGAGTCTGTCCCGAGTGTGTCCCTTATAGATTGCTTGGATGGGACAATCTCATGACAGAGCAAACAGCAATGGCTTCCCATCAGCTCTGCCCTAAGAGGCCCCCCGGGCACTTCTTTCTGTTCTTAATGAACCAACTACTCTTTGCCTCCTGACCTCCGTGAAGGGTATGCTATTTTTTTAAATAGACAGTTCAGATGTTTTTATAAGGGATCAGCTATGTTAGTCAATAAGTGAAAAATTTATGGGGCATGCAACTTTGGAAAAGTAGTGATTACCTATTTTAATATTTTATTTCTGAAGGTATTACTTTTTCATATTCCCACAACCCACCCACCTATTCTTATAGCATCAAAGAAATGAACTTTCATGTCTATTTTTTAATTGATCCCTTTGACACTTTTTCTTAACTTTTCACCTAGAATTATAGGCATTTTAAATGAAAAAGGCTTGGCCACATTACTAAAGGGATAGAAACTTGAAACTTTGTTTTGTCTTGTTGGGTTAACAAATGGGCTGCATCTGTGTACTTTAGAGGTACAGGGTGCCCGTAAATGGAGAATCTGATAAGATAACGATTTAAGACACATAAGCAACTTGTTCTTCTTGTCTGTAGACTTGTCTATTGAACCCTAAGAGTAAGTAAACAAACCTTTCTTTCTAGATCTTCATCTGCTGGTGGATGTGGCCTGCAAGCAAGAGCACTTTCCAAAGGAGGAAGAATTAAAAGAGTGAGGCACGGATGACACGTGACATTGTGCACTAGCTGTAGCTGGAAGCAGACTAGCCTTGCACATGACACACTGTTGGGATTTTTTCAGTTCTGTTAAGGAAAAAAATATATTTTTGTTTTGTTAATTGAGAATTTTGTTAATTGGAAACTTGGTATTTATTACAGCTGTTCAGTTCAGATTATTTACCTTGACAAACTACTAAACATCTAGCAGCCATTTTTTCTGTTTGTTTTTTTGCTGCTCAGATCCCTTTCAAATGAAAAGTCCTGGCCTTTTGTTACAATCAAGAAGCATCTAAAAACTGCTGCATCTATGGTACTGGAGGATAATGTGTGTATGTGTGCTGGTTTATTATCTTCTCTCAAATTATGGTCAGCACAACTCCAGTGGGGACTTAAGTCTATCTGTTTTAAGTCACAGTGTGATTCTTTTATTAGAGACATTTGTGTGAAACACAAAGGCATGTAAGGTCACCAAGACCACAGGTCTAAATGGTTCAGGAATTCCAGGGAAGAAACTCTGGGAAAGAGCTAATATTCTAAGTGATTAACTAGGAAATGCTCTTAACTTTCTCACCCAGCATTCTGTTTCAAGAGCAAGGCATCCGGACTCGGACCATCCATCACACTTAACAGCTCCTACTTATTTTATATTTATGGGAGCATTCTTCTATTTTCATATCTTTCTTTAATTTAAAATGGTACATTATTATAAATTATAAGGTTTTGTTAATATATTACTTATTTAAATATCTCCTAAAGAAAAGTATTTAACTGGTTTAATGTATTTATAAATGCTGGTAGATTTTTAACGTTTTAAAGCTTTATATTTTTATTAATATTTCAAGATAGAAGGATAAAGGATGCATGTGTAATATTTTTACTTTGAGGGGGAAATGTGCAATGTGCACACAAAAACATTAAGAGATTTAACACAGTGCTTTCTTATTTTAGATTTTTTTACATCCAGTAAGTATAAATTATCATTTATATGAGATATTGTGTACAAATTTTGGGAGAAACTGATTAGTAGTCAGTTAACAGAAGCTTTACCACTGATATTTTTAATAGTTTATGTTTGTTTTCAGCTTCTGAGAGGACTTTGGATAGTGGAATATACGATGACATTTTTATCTTGTCCCTTCTGTAGGATTCTAGATTCCAGTAGGATTGTGGGACTGGTTTTTAAGAGAGGAATCTTGGTTATCCACTTTCTGTGGTTGATCCCTCAATTGTTCTTCCAAGGACAGCAGGAAACTTTCTGATTTAAAGTCTTTGAAATTGACTAGAACTTTCTTATTGAATTCTGCTTTAGTTTTCCTAATAAGCACTGCAGAAACAAAAGGAAAGCCTAAGAATATGGAAGTAATTAAAAAAAAAACAAAAAACGGGCTTGGTGATATGGTAAGAGTACTGTGTTAACATTGTGGGTATAACAATTCATTAAATTGCATTGTGCCTTCCCAATGATGTCAAACCCTAGAAGTGTTACAGAACTAGTAGGTTTTTGTTTGTGTTTTTATTAGAGGATGATCTCTGTATGGTGACTCAGTTTGATATGAAAGTAGTTTCTGAAGAGTAATCTATTTGGTCCAACTGATTCTACAAATTGATATCTATGTAATGGGCATTTATTCAACTTTATTAGCAAGGTTTAAAAGATGAACAGATTATCAAGACTCCTATATCTTTTGGCAGAGTATGTGAAGAGGAGACCCAATTTCTAAATGAAGGAACTTTGCTTTTTCTCTGTCATGTTGAAAAGCCAATATACCGTGATGATATTTCTTCCCTTAAATATGTCTTTCTTAGCTTTGTTATGTTGAAGGAAATAATATCTTTTGAGGAACATGTGTCAAGTAGGAACCGTGGCATAGATTTGGTTTCAGTGGTTTTAAGGCTTAATAAAATGAAATATTTTTATCAGCTTTTCAAACTTTTTTTTGTATATGAATACAGCAGACCAAGGAGCTACATCTGCCACTGTCCTCACATGTCTGCTGCCTATCAACTAAAGCTATCATCACAGACTTCGGTAAAATGGAGAAAGATAAAATAAAATCTTTGTGTGAATTAGCCAGTAGGGTCTGGCACACACTAAAAGGTTCCTGACTAGCACTCAGTGTTTCAGCACTTTTAGCATGATAAATTTCAATCAGTCAACAATAAAGTGAGCATTTCAACTTGACTTGTGTCTTGATTGTTTTTACTGTTTAATTAGTGATTATTAGAAACCTCAGTCATTATGACTTTTAATCATAATAATAAAGTTCAAAAGAGAAAGTACTCTGTTTTTTAAAGAATCTGACTTTTTCAGAAAATGTGTACTGGCTTTTTAAATTTAAAATTTGCACTTGAATAGAGATTTTTTTAAAAATTATTATTATCTGTGTACATATTTTAACATTGCCTCCCTCACCCCTCTGAATAGAGATTTTTAAAATGCCATTAAGGATAAGGACAATTCTTTTAAAAATATATTTTTTTTATTGATTTCAGAGAGGAAGAGAAAGAGATAGAAACATCAATAATGATGAGAGAATCACTGATTGGCTGCCTCCTGCATGTCCCCCACTAAAGATGGAGCACGAAACCTGGACATGGGCCTTGACTGGGAATTGAACTGTGATCCCCCTGTTCATAGGTTGATGATCAACCACTGAGCCATGCCAGCCAGGCAAAGGATAAGGACAATTCTTGGCCATGTTTTAGAGCCCTAGTTTTTTGGAAGAGGATGCATGGTCTTTAGTAACTGTAGTCCATCCAGATGTGAAAGTAGATCCCGAGGGATGACGACTTAGACTAGGTGGTTGATGTCAGGGAGGTGGGCGTTTCATCACCACAGTGGTGGCATCATTATCAACCTCCGAGGGAGAACTCCAACATTTAAAGCCAAAGAATTTATCTTGCTTATCAATTCTGGTGACATAAACACAGTATATCAGTGAACTAAGTCACATAGAGCTGTTTGGCTTGATCCTGGGTATCTCAGGGTACCCAGGTTCATGATACATATTATCATCATTCCAAAATCTTGAGTTTCTTTAAAAGAGGGCAATCATAGCTCTAACTGGTTTGGCTCAGTGGATGGAGTGTCAAACTGCGGACTCAAGGGTCCCAGGTTCAATTCTGATTAAGGGCATGTACCTTGGTTGCGGGCACATACCCAGTAGGGAGTTTGCAGGAGGCAGCTGATTGATGTTTCTCTCTCATTGATGTTTCTAACTCTCTATTCCATTCCCTTCCTCTCTATAAAAAAATCAATAAAATATTTAAAGAAAAAAAGAGGGCAACCATATTTATATTTTTTTCTTCTTTCAACTAAATGTATGTCTGAACTCTTAGGCTTGATTCTCTTAATTCCTTTGTAAGATTCAAATAGGAATAAGTGAGGCAAAGCCCATTAGTAGCTTACTTTTTGTTTAGTTAACTTTCAATATAATTTGGCATATGTCATATATAGTAATGTTTAGTTTGTGTTATTTATGCTTTACTATTACATGGCATACATAAAATAAAAATATGCAACCATACCAGACTTTATTTTTTATTTTTAAAGTTTTCAGGTATAATACACAAAAGCAAAAAAGTTTATCTTAAAAAGCATCAAGTATTACATCCATAGTCTAGTCCTAATTATAATTACTTCTTAAAGCGACATTTATCTTTACAAATACAGCAGCAGGTGGTAAGACCTAAAGTCTCAAACACATTGCTTACAGTTCATAATACAAATAAATGTATATGTCTCAAATCATATTTAAGGCAGTTTAACTTAAAATGCATAGACAATTACATACATTAAATTTATTATTAATCAATGAAAAAAATAACGTCAAGAAAAAAATACAGAAAATCTTTATAGAGCACAAAGAAATCAAGTTTACTTAGGGCAACAAATCAGTATCTGCTAATCAATGATAGGCAGTGAAAGTGTCTTCATCCAGGGAAAATAAAGAGGAAAAACATCCCATTACTTTGCATGCTTGAAAAGTTATACTGACAAAACTATAATCTTGGAAAACATTAACTTCTTAATTAAAAAAAAGGTATAGTGTATTTTGCTCTTTAAAATACCCAAAGGCTGGTCTATAATTTCCACCAGTAGGAATACCAAAACATGTTGATCTAGGTTAAACTAATAATGGGCACACTAATGAATTCCGTAACGCTACCCCTAGACTGGGGCCCTCTCAAGGACAGGCATTCTCTTTCATCTCTGTGTCTCTTTATCTGGCAAAGCACTTGGATCATAGACATTTAAGTGCCGATTTCTCAGAAATAGTCTATAGCCAGAAGATTGCATGGCATTTCTTTAATACTGATTATTTTATTGGTAGTTTTTATTTTACTTGACAGAATTCTGAAAATAAACAGTGTCTTCATACTGAACATTGCTCTATTAGGATTAAATTAGTCTTCACTGAAAACCACCCACCACTTTCTATGGATAGGGCAGTGTGTCAGTGTGATTAGTCTGAATTTAGCCTTCTGCTTTTCAAAAACATTAATCAAGGAGCTGGAGGAGAGGATCATGGGAGAGCTCAAGGAGAGTAAACAGCAAGGGCCAGGTTGGCTTGAGCTCTCCAGTGTGACAGAGTAACCAGACTATGATCTGGAGACCTTTGTCAACAAGGCAGAGCCTGCTCTGGCCCAGCAAGCCAAGCACTTCTCAGCCCTGCAGCTAGAAGAGCAGGCCAGCAAACAAATAGGCAACAAGAAATGGCCCTAGTGACGACGGCAAATATAGATGTTTGGTTTTAAAAAAGAGGGAAGGCAGGGGAGGATGGGTGGGTGGAAAGAGAGAAATCAATGAACTTGTATGCATAAAGGCATAACCTGTGGACAGGGGCCATAGGGTGGTGAAGGCCTGATGTAGGGGGCAAGGGAGGGCTAGGAGAGGTCAATGGGGAAGAAGGGGGGCATATGTAATACTTTCAACAATAAAGATTTTTTAAAAAGTAAAAATAACAACCAATAAAAATATTTTAAAAAATTTAAAAGTCTTGTCTGCTGCTACTTTAAATAAAATATAGCTTTAAATAAAACAGGGCTGAGGAATCAGAGCTGCAAGCAGCCATCCTCAAACATGAAAAGGTGTCAGGCCCAGTCCAGAAAAACAAGCCAAGATACTAAATTTAAGGCGCCTTGGATTTTTGAGAGCCGAATGTGTGAATACAAAACAAGGTCTATAGTTTAAATTTTTGTTGTCATTTTTTTAGGTTCAACATTTCAAAGTCTAACATTCAAATTCCAGAAACACTATTCTTAAACACATCTCAACTATCTCCATCAAATTTACTTTAAAATTCTTGCTCTTAAAAGTTCAAATGCCAGTGTATTCCATACTTCACATTCCCTTAAGACTAACAAGTAGTCTTCTGTAACCTTAGCCTAGCATGACTTACTTTTTTTTACAGCAAATTATTCCCTTGCAAAGAGAAAATCTCCCTAGATGCTTCCCCCACTGAAACTTCTGATTTTTTTAAAACTCCATTCTGAACCTAAAAATACTTTTTGCCCAAAGTACCCTTAAGGATTGAGACACCTCTCCCCAGATTTGAGAAAGGATGTTCTAGAGCAGTGTTTTTCAACCTTTTTTGGGCAAAGGCACACTTGTTTCATGAAAAAAATCATGAGGCACACCACCATTAGAAAATGTTAAAAAATTTAACTCTGTGCCTATATTGACTATATATAAAGTAATTCTCTTGAATAGGAATCAAATAAACACAAAGAAAGTATTTTATAATTACTTTATTATGAAATATTAAGTAAACAAAATAGTGAAAAATTATAAAATTCTTGTCTTGTCTGCACCTACGGCACACCAGGCAACATCTCGCGGCACACTAGTGTGCCGCGGAACAGCGGTTGAAAAACGCTGCTCTAGAGAATCACAAATATAAAAGCAAATTCTGTCTCTTTGATTTCCATTACAAAAATTTTTTTTATCCTTAAATATCACTTGGAAAGTCCTTAGAAAGCAAAGGCAAAATAGCAGTACTGTCTAGGGGAATATGGGTCACTAGCAAAGTAAATATACATATTGGGAATAGTATATTTAACAAAAGATTTTCTCCAATAATAAATGGGCTCATCAATTACAGACTCCCAAACTTGCTACCTCTTCTTCTTTTAGGGAAACAATTATCCTTTCTACCCTGTTTCCCCCCAAAAATAAGACAGTGTCTTATATTAATTTTTTCTCCCAAAGTTGCGCTAGGTCTTATTTTCAGAGGATGTCTTATCTTTCCATGCGCTATGTCTTATTTTCAGAGGATGTCTTATTTTCGGGGAAACACCCCCGTATTAATTACTGAATCTAAGACCGGAGTAGACAACTTAGTAGACAACCAAAATAAGTATAAAGAGAGATATCTTTGCTACCATCTTACTTTTCCTCATTTTATGCCTCCAGTTAGCTGGCATGATACTGACTGATTATCTAAGATCTGACACTTCCTAAGGCTATACCTGCCTTGTGAATTGGAGGCTACTGTGACAACAGGCTCCCAAAGTGTTGTACAGGTGTATATAGTTGCCACCTGAAAGAGAAAAAGACCATGGGTGCCACTATGTAAGAAAGGTCTAACAACATTCACCAGCCTGAAAATATCTAAACAAATTAGTTTCAATTCTGGAAGCTTGAATCTATCTTCTACACTAAAGGGAGATTTAAACACTGAAATGTTCCTTTCCAAGGTGACCATCTTGCTTTGGTAAAAGGAGGTAGCTATCAAACCATTAAATTGGCAGCATTTGGCCCAATAATAGACTTTGAAATTTTTCTCTCTAGAAGAATTAGATCTATTCCTATTCTTTAGAAAGGTACAATTGAGGTCTCTACTTGCATTATGTTCTTAATGTCCAACCAATGAAGAACAAGTGCTAAGAATTTACATTAGAATTTATCTCTCTGCTCTAGATTAGCTTTATTAAGCCTAAAATATCAAAACTATCCCCATAAACATTTTTAAAAAAATGTTTTTATTGATTTTGGGGGAGGGAGGAAAGGAGAGGACTAGAGAGATAGAAACATCAATGAGAGAGGGACATCATCGATTGGTTACCTCCTGCATGCCCCACACTGAGCATTGAGCCCCCAACCCAGGCATGTGCCCTGGTTGGGAACCAGATCGTTACCTCCTGGTTCATAGGTTGACGCTCAATCACTGAACCACGCCAGCTGGGCTCCCCAAAATCCTTCTTTAGGGAAAACATACTCAAGGTGAATAGACCACTCATAATTTTTTATTTTCAGAGGCATTAAGTCATTTAATCTTTATAACAAGCCTACAATGCAATTATTATCCATATTTTACAAATGATCAATTTGTATAATTCATTTGTACAATTAAAAAAGCTTTTAAGATTGATGTTATGTGCTTCTCACCACAATTTAAAGAAGTACATAGCATTAAGAACCTTTTTAAAGTGTATAGTTCAGTAGTGTTAACCACATTCGCATATTGTACTTCTGTACGATTTGGAAAGATTACTGGCAGCAGGTCAAAAATGTCTAGCCGAAACTGGTTTGGCTCAATGGATAGAGCGTCGGCCTATGGACTGAAAGATCCCAGGTTCGATTCCAGTCAACGGCATGTACCTTGATTGCGGGCACATCCCCAGTAGGGAGTGTGCAAGAGGCAGCTGATCAATGATTCTCTCTCATCGATGTTTCTAACTCTCTATCCCTCTCTCTTCCTCTCTGTAAAAAAATCAATAATATATATATTTTTAAAAAATGTCTAGCCAGAGTTAAATATAATCTGATAGATTTGAAGACTCAAATTTTAGAACCATCTTAGAAATGCATTATTTCTAATGACAAGGTTTCTGGAAAGGTTTTAGTTCGTGAATGTGATAATCAGCTGAAAATTACTTTTCTTTTTGCCTCCCTTCTCCTTAGGCACATATATTTTACCCCTTTGCTTGTACTCATGACATGGACTCACTTGAGGTCTTGCGTTGAGGGCATAGATCTGGTTCATGCTATTATTGCACCTCCCAAATCTGTGAGAAAAAGACAGATTCCACACCTCTGACATCAACCTGCTCTAAAAGCTCCATAGAGGCACGGTTTAGAAATGAGCTATTAACTTTAAATTAGTAAGAGCTGAAGAAAAACTCTGCATAAAATAAGAGTTCTTGCCAGGGGAGTAGACATAAAAGCAGTAAGTCAGAAAGCATTAAAGCACAGGTTCACTTTAATCTGGCTTTGTGCCATTTATAGACACTAAAACCAGGAAGAGCAGAGATCTTTTAGAACTTATATTTGCAGCCCAAACCGGTTTGGCTCTGTGGATAGAGCATCGGTCTGCAGACTGAAAGGTCCCAGGTTCGATTCCAGTTAAGGGCATGTACATTGGTTGCAGGCATATCCCCCGGAAGGGGGTGTGCAGGAGGCAATTGGTCGATGTTTCTCTCTCATCGATGGTTCTAGCTTTCTATCTCTCTTTCTTCCTCTCTGTAAAAAATCAATAAAAAATATATTTAAAAAAGAACTTATATTTGCAAAACCCTTTGTTCTTTATTATTTAAAAAAAATATTATTGATTTTTTTTACAGAAAGGAAGAGAGAAGGATAGAGAGTTAGAAACATCGATGAGAGAGAATCATCGATCAGCTGCCTCTTGCACATCCCCTACTGGGGATGTGCCTGCAACCAAGGTACATGCCCTTGACCGGAATCGAACCCGGTACCTTTCAGTCCACAGGCCGATGCTCTATCCACTGAACCAAACCGGTTTCGGCTGTTCTTTATTATTATTATTATTATTATTATTATTAAATGCATTTTTATTGATTTCAGAGATGAAGGGAGAGGGAGAAATAGAAACATCAATGATGAGAATCATTGATCAGCTGCCTCCTGCACGCCCCCTGCTGGGTATCCAGCCTGCAACCCAGGCATGTGCCCTTAACCAGAAATCAAACTATATCCACTGAACCAAACCGGCTAGGGCTGTATCTATTTTGTTCTGGTTTTCTTTTCTTTTTCATCCCCCCTCCCCCTCCCCCCTTTTATTTCCTCATAGCCACCATGCTCTCTTAGGTGCAGAATCTGCTTAGGTATCTGTTTGAGTGGCCGTGATTGACATGCGGTAGCTGGTTTACCCAGAGAAAGGAATTGAGGGTTGAATTGGATGCAGTTTGGCTGCGGTTCAATAGAGGGAGCAGAGGAGCCGAGGAAAAAAAGCCAGAGAACGTGTCTCGCTCGGTGTGCGCGCCCGAGCCCGGGCCCTGGCCAGCCCGAGGAGGAGGGGCAGGAGGAGGGACGGCTGCCTGCGCTGCTCCACCCTCACTTTGTGTCAGCAGGTAGAGAGCGTGATTGCAGTCTCAGGGGAGGGAGGCCGAGCTAGAACACCAATTACAAACCACAGGCTTCCTCCTCCAGGGAGTTGATCCAGAATTGTCTTTCTGGAAGAGAAGCACCCGAATCCTTCCGAACTTTCCAAATCCACCCATGATTCAGAGACATTGCCTTCTCCCTCTGGGATTCTCTGTGCTCAAGGGAGTGAAGGGTTGCTTTGCTTCCTTTCTCTTTCAAGACTTGATCATTTTATATGCTGTTCCGGGAGAAAAAGAACTTTTGTTAGAAAGGAGATTTCAGAAATGACTTTGGATCCTCTCTAAGAGTTTTTTTTTTTTTTTTTTTTTTTTTTTTTAGAATTTCTGGGGACCAGTAGCTCTAACCCTGGAGTGAGTGTCTGCCTTTGACCTGCATGGATTATTTTTTCAGGCTGTGGAATTTCTCGGCACCTACCTGCAGTGTGGGGCGCTTGGTCTGGTTGCAGAGTAAGAAGGTGGAAGAATGAGCTGTGCTTGGTTAAACGGTTGAAATCTGTTCTGAGCGGGATCTATAAAAGCATAATTGAATTTGTTTCACCCCCGTGGATTCCAGTGGGCCCGACAGCGCAACAGGTTTGCAGATTTCTTTTGAAATTCTTTTTTTCCACTCCCCTTCCCCCTCTGCCTCAGCAAAAGAATCTGTATAACAGGTTCATGTTCAATTGCTTGGCTCTTCAGCGCTTATTCTGAAGACTTTCTACGATTTTAAAAATTTGACCCCTGAACACAGTGGGCTTTGTGGTTGGAGTGCGCTTATATTTACTTAAAGGTGCAACATTTTTTAAAAATCTTAGAATAAGATTTTGTTTGTACGAAGACCCTAATTCTAAAGCGTGCTTAGAAATTGCACGATCCACCCTGCTCAGGCTTTTTACGTTTCCAGGGCATTTTACTTAGAGCCTGTAATCTAATCACCTCCTTACCCCCCCTACCTTTTACACCCCACCTCCTCACGGAATTTAAAAACGTGTTAGGAATAGTCCTTTGTTTTACTGATGAACCTAGAAAATTACAGATTATAAAATCGGGATAATAAAGTCGTTTCCAAAAGCATCTCATGGGAAATCAAAGTGCTTGGCATTCTCAAGAGGGAGAATACAAGCTGGAATCCCTGAGAGAGAGAGAGAGAAAAGTAAAGATAGAAATACAGTTTTTAACTGGGAAAAAATAATTGGAAAGCTAACCTTTCCGAATACTCTTCTTGTTTGGAAGTTGGAAACAGTTGTGAAGCTCAGGACTATCCTGTATATGTGAAGACGTAACAGATTACCACCCATTTTTACAGGCAAATTTGGTAGAACATTTGAAAGGTATAGCATATTTTAAGTTCATGAGAAATATTCTAAATTTAACGGGGCCTAGAACTTTGGCCATGTTGAACTACAGCTCAGCGTGTAAACTTTTATGAATAATACATGCTGTAGCATCTTTGGCTGTCTCTCCAGATGTGGCCCGAAATGGTCTGTCTCTCTCCTTCCCTGTTTAAAAATAAAAATTCTCTGTGATTGGTAGCCTTTTTTTTACCACTGACAAATTATGTCCCGTAGAAAGGACCATGTCTTCGTTTTCTAAGCTTGGAGATTTTCACTCTCACCTTTAATGCGTGGCCTTAGTTGTTTACTTTGCCTTGTTTTGTTCATTAACATTGGGTTTAGTGGCTCTACAACGTGATGCATATGGAAGACCAGCACCAAGAGATCTGACATAAAAAATATATATATACATACATATATATATTCAGGATGTGACAATCAATCTCAAGCAAAGTTGGAAATTCCACAGAGAAGTGGCGACACCTTACTAATAATAGTGAAGATGGGAGAAAAGGACATGCCTGAAGCAGAAGTGGGCTGAGAGCACCCTCTTCCCCGCCAGATCAGGAAGGCCACCTGCTCTTGGGAATATACTTTAGGAAAAGGAAGGGCCGAAACGATGACTTGGGTTTCTGAAGCCGAAGCGTAAATCCTCTCGCCCTTCGTTTGCCTGGACCTGAGAATCTGCATCTGGTGTCAGCTGGTGGGAGCAGTATGTACGGCCGAGGTGCATCGCTGCAGCTGGTAGCATGAGCGGTGGCCACCAGCTGCAGCTGGCTGCCCTCTGGCCCTGGCTGCTGATGGCTACCCTGCAGGCAGGCTTCGGACGCACAGGACTGGTTCTGGCAGCGGCGGTGGAGTCTGAGAGATCAGCGGAGCAGAAGGCTATCATCAGAGTGATCCCCTTGAAAATGGACCCCACAGGAAAACTGAATCTCACCCTGGAAGGTGTGTTTGCCGGTGTGGCCGAAGTAACTCCAGCAGAAGGAAAGTTAATGCAGGTAAGGACACCTTCCTTCCATTTCACTTCCCATCTGTTTGGAATACTGTACCTTTCTTCTTTTGTCTCCCAAACCCAATCCTTTCCAGGGGGCTTCTGTGGCTTAGCTTCTGATGTGTCCCATCTTTCAGTGATGTTGCCTCATTGGCATTCTAAAGCAAATTCTTATTTTATACCCAAGAAGAAACACATAAATCCTACATTTTAGAAGATCATGGGCTATTTTTAGCTCTGCTATTACATGGCCTTTTAAGATGCACAATAAGACCTTTCTTTGCAAGTGTTACATTCTGGACACAATGTTTTGATAGATGAAATAAATGGACGGGTATTTCATTAAGGATGGTACTAAAGTATCCTGTTTGATTTTGAAGTGAGCACTAAGAAGGTTGATTTTAATGGTCAGCAGCACCCTGAAGCATATTTGATCACCGTGTCACTTTTAAAATCCAGTCAAGCTTGAATGCTATGGCTGGCTTTCCACCACGTGTGGCACCCTATTGCTAAGCCCAAAATGGAGAGGACTGGATTACAAAATGGACACAAGGGGTCAACTTGCCTCCTGGTCACTTTGGTCTTATCTCTCCGTAGTTTTATTATTTTCAAAATTTAAAAATTTAATGTGTTTTTTTATGGACCCATAAAGTTTTTGGGCACAGCTTCTCAGGTTTTCAGGCTGTGAATTTTGCCTATAACTCATTCATAGACAAAAATAACTCTTTATGTGTTGAATTTATGAACTGACGGGGGCCATAGCATTTCACAGGGGAATTGCTCAATCCCCAGGTGAAGACAGAGCCCAGAGGGCTGTCCAGTGTCTTATTCCATAAAGTGATGTTGTTTATTGGTTAAATTTTATTTGTCTCTTGCTGGAGGTTTTGGATACAGGTTACAATGTGGTTAAATATGATTTTTCACAGTACCCACGCTCAGATTTTTATTTTGTGATATGAACAGAACCCAAGTATTACAGGAATTTAAATTCTGGTCTTTTTGGAGAGAGAAGGTGAGAAAACTTAATAAATTATAGAGCTCTCTTTTCCAAACATGGATTCTACATATATGAGTTAGTGGTTTTTCATGACTGTTAACTGGAATAAGTGAAGTGGAAGAAGAATTGGATGAAATGGACAGCCCTGCTATTTAGAAAAATAAACAGGGGAAGAGAATGTATCTGGAAAAATGGCATAATAATTTTTGGAATAAGCATATAGTCATTTAATTTGAACTCTAGGGTGGAATTAGGCACATTTTAAAGTTGAAACATAATTTTGAATACAACGATTGGAACAATTGGAAAGAAAACTTCCTTTCTGACTTGCCTAGTTAATACTCTGAATCATGAGGTGTGTGCCCCATTTTAACTTTTTACCCTAAGCTTTTTTAAACTGTAGAACCATATTTTGATCTCTGAGGTGTTTGGGAGACGTACAAAGTCTGTGCCTTATTAATGTCCTGTGGCAGCAGCATGGTCAGTAGGTTAATTGTATATTGCATAAAATAGTGTCCTTTTTATTTTAAACTTTTGTCTTCTTTCATAAAGCTCTCCATAAAGTTTCTGTGTATTCACAAAGAAAAAATTATATAAGAGGCACTAGCTGGCCTTCTCTTTGCCATTCATTATTTTGTCAATATTTATTATAGCTTCTCTTTTTCTCACTCTGGTGAAATTTGCTAATTTTTTCCAACTGTTCATGTTGAGCCTATTAGTATACTCTTAAGTATAGTTTCTTCATTTTGTGAAGAGGGAAGTTCATTGTGTCTGTTACTTAGCAAGGTCTTTCAGGCATTACAGTAGATGGTTTGCATCATTGGCAATTTTCTGTCTTTATCTTTTCTGTCCACGTAAGCTTCTTCTAGGTCATTAATACATTTGCAACCTAGCCTAGTGTTAATCTCTGGAGACTTGCAATATAGCTTCTGGTTTATTGTCTATTAATCAATTTTAATCCACAATATTTACTAAATTTTCTGAATAGTCACTTATGAAAACACAAAAACAACCTTTTGAATGATAAGCGTCAGTTGCTCTCTATCCACTATTTGGTGAATTCTCTCAGAATTGGCAACACATGGTTTTACACCTCTAGGATCCACGCTGTTCCTTCCTTATCAGATTACACTGCAACTCAAGATCACTCAGCTGTGGTTAACCAAGCTCCCATTTAGCTGGGGTTCCCTTTTGGTGTCCTGGAGGTGTGCTTTGCTGCACGTTAGCTTTCTTGGTGGATAGCTCTATCCTGGTGTCATAAATCCAAAGGAGTCTTCTCTGTTGGCTTTGAGGAGTTTGGGATAATTCTATGTATCCTCCTACCTATGAATGAATTATTCTAGCTGAACCATAGAGTTTCCTCTGAAATAATTTTGCTTGTCTCAACTTCAACTGAGGCTGTATATACAAGGACATTGAAGGCCAGGCCCTGGTAAATTTTTGTCCTGATCTTTTGTGCTTGGGCTTCTTTTTACCAACAGTAATATCCAAGACATGTATAAAGTTTTAAATTGTAATATTCTTGTTGGGATACTAGAAGGAAGTCAACATGGAAAAGGAAATGTTGCCTTAGCTATTTTCTTCCATTTCATAACTCCTCATTTTAGCCCTGATCAAATTAATTTTCTTTCTTTTTTTGCCCAAGAGCTGCTTCTTTGCAATAGGGCACATGTGTCAAACACAAGGCCCGCGGGCCAAATCCGTCCCGCCAGGCCTTGCAATGTGGCCCGCACCGCGCTGTCATCACTGCACTCCGCTGCGTTTCCATCACAATGACAGTTTATGACTGTTCAGTAAACCATTCGGCCCACGATTTAGGCTGGATTTTAGATTTTGGCCCCTTCTCTGATTGAGTTCGACACCCCTACAATAGGGTATCATTTCACATCTCTGTGCGTGTTTGCCGTTGCCTATAAAGTGTCTTTTTTTTTTTTAAATACATTTTATTGATTTTTCACAGAGAGGAAGAGAGAGGGATAGAGAGTTAGAAACATCGATGAGAGAGAATCATCGATCAGCTGCCTCTTGCACACCCCCCACTGGGGATGCGCCTGCAACCAATGTACATGCCCTTGACCGGAATCGAACCCGGGACCTTTCAGTCCGCAGGCCGATGCTCTATCCACTGAGCCAAACCAATCCTGGCTAAAGTGTCTACTTCTTATGTTGGCCCTGCATTTGCCACGATCATTGTCTCTTCCTTTCTACTTTTCTGTCTGTATTTCCACTTTATTTTTTATTTTTTATTTTTTTATATTTTATTGATTTTTTACAGAGAGGAAGGGAGAGAGATAGAGAGTTAGAAATGTCGATGAGAGAGAAACATCGTCCAGCCACCTCCTGCACACCCCCCACTGGGGATATGCCCGCAACCAAGGCACATGCCCTTGACCGGAATCGAACCTGGGACCCTCCAGTCCGCAGACCAACGCTCTATCCACTGAGCCAAACTGGTTTTGGCTCCACTTTATTTTTATATTTAGGATAACCTTCCACTGCTATTCTAGTCAGTATTTTTATAACTATCCACCACCAATCCGTGTCAAAAAATATTTGTAACTCTGTGTAGTGATGGATGTTAACTAAACTTATTGTGGGAGTTATTTCACAATGTTATAGCAAATTATGTTGTACACCTCAAACTAATCTAGAGTTATATGTCAATTATATCTCAATTAAAAAAGAGAGACCCCAAAAAAATCAATTTTAAGAAGACTTTTCAGATTTCCTAATTACTTGGCAGTGACTGATAAAGAAGAGTAAATAACAGTGGTTATTACTTCTTACAGTTTTTATTTTTTCATTTGAATATATTCTTCTTCTCCTGGTTTGTACCATTATATTAGTAGATGGGAAATATGCTGGAGCTTATGCATTGTCTAATTGTGCAGTTTTTTAGTTTGTTTACCTCTTTTCAAGGCATGTTTGTATTTTTTCTAGTAATATGGTTGCTACCACTTGTAAAAGCTATTATAGTTCTATCTTCTCATTTTTGTTCCTTAGTTATAAATGTTATTAATTAGAGGGACAACTCAAAATTTATTTTTCATTGGGGTGTACACCTGGAACTAATATAATAACGTATGTTAACTGTAATTGGAAAATAAAAACACGATTAAAAAAAAAGAAGAAGCAAAACTGCTAGAGGATCTTATTGTAGCCTAGAGAGGTCACCAGTTCAGCTGTCACACTCTTCCTGCTCAGCTGGTTGTCTTGGATTTTCTTAGACTCTGGATCAAGTGATGATCAAGATTAGAATGTACTGCCCTGAGGCCTCGGCACTACAATGGGAGCCACGGTGTTTGGCATCTGGGCAGCCGCAGTGAGCGCCTCCTGGACAGGCTCTCCCTGGCGCGATGTCTCTGCTTGCCCCTCAATTTACCTAGGAGTCAGCACCTACTTATCCCAACTTTGCATTTCTTACTTTATTTGTAGTTGGGCCCTGAAGTGAATTCTTTGAGGAGGGAGAGAAAACTTTATTATTTGAAAATTCTGGACAGAACCAGAGAGAGAAGGCTATCCAGCAAAACTGCAGCCGACAAAGTGCCTAAACTGTGACTCAAGGGACTGACTCTCAGTTCTGCCGCTGAGGAGCTGGGTGATTTGGGACAAAATGCTTTTCACCTTTCGAGGCTTTGGGTTCTGCGTTGGGAAGATGGAGGGACTGTAATGGAACAGTGTGTAACAAACTTGTGCTGTGAATCTTACAAGTATCAGCTTGTTTATTCTTCATAATAACTTCATGCAGTGCTTTGTTTTTCACACTTTACCGATAAGGAAACCGAGGCCCAAATTGTTAGTACCTGCCAAGGTCATGGCCATAGTTAGTAGGTGGCATAGTTGGAACTTGAAGCCTAGAGCCGGTGCTTTTCCAGTGCTAAGACTCTATTCATCTAAGAATGCCATAGCTGAGCAGAACACCAGGGTAGGCTTTGTAAAAATGATTAATTCCTTTCTTCAATAGAAAGGAATGAAAATGATGAATGTTATTCTCTGAGATTGATTCAGAA